TATATATATCATTTCGCTACATAATTACATATTACATATTTAACTGGACTCTAGTACCAGGCCTGTGTATACATTTATTGTGACTGTTTTTAATATGATTTAAATCTTTGTCAATCTAAAGTCGAAGGTAAGTCCTGGTCCTGACCCTTTAACATCACTATTGGATAGGCTTATCTGAATAAGACACATACGAATGGATACCTTGTTCGAAGCAAGAAATCAAGTTGTCTTTAGCCAGTACTGCTCGTATATTTTATTTGCGAGTCTTTAAAAGACAACAGTGAACTTAAACAGTATTTGCCAACATGTGCAAGTTAAACACACACCAAGTGTCTTTGATTGGTCTATACAATCTATTGAAGATTATTTTTTTTAAAATACTTATTATTATTAAATGTCTTCATAATGACTTGCTATGAAGTCTTTCAAACGTCACATCCCATCTAGAAATTAATACTGTACTGTACAACATAGGAAGTGATTACACGGTAGACTAGCAGAAACTATGAAAACTATTGTTCCCAATGAGAGAAGAAGTGTACTGATAGTAATAATAGTATTGTTTGTTGTTTTATCATAATAAGCATTATGAAATTAATACTAGAGGTTATGTAAATTATGATTACTGATGTAAGAATGCAATATTAATTGCAGAAATAAATTTCCTACAAATAGAATATTAATAATACACGTATGCAGGATTGTGAATTGCGATTTACATTGTCGTCTATTTTTAAAACTGACGAATAGGTAAATAGAAAAGACTAGCCTAAGTTTCTTACAAAAAAATTTTTTTTTCAAATTTAAAATGCCAATTTTTAACTAGACCCCATGAAAAATAAATTAGATTATCACCTCACTCACACATATCAGATCTCAGATTTTACATTTGATTTTATATTTTAAAAATATTGTATTTTCTTCTTCTGAACACTGAATCATCATGCTCGTACTCACAGATGGAACATTTGACTATAAATAAATTTTGTTGTGTCAGATATTCTGCTCGTTGTTTGCATATCTGCACTGCAAAGTAACACAAACGCTTCTGAGTCTCAAAACTGATTTGGACATTGTGAGTTCATATTAACTGAAATGTTTAGATAATCATAAACTCATTTATTACTTGGGATCATTAAAACTTGTATAGTATACTGTATCTTGATGTTTAATTTTATATCTATAGTACATTTAATATACTTATAATTTTCATCATATATCTTTAATGCCAGTGATTTACATACACGCCAAGGCTCAAGCAATGTGTGACACTCACACATTCGGGTCTATCTCACGCAGACTTTGTAAGCTACAGTAAGGTGTACAGTATTAAGACTGCACTGTAAACCCCTTATTTTCCTGATCTAGAAAATCCGTTATATTATAACATCAAAGGTGGTACAATTTCACGGTGGTCAATTTACAATGTTGTCCGACACTTTAATAATTAGCCAGCAAATAATAATAATAATAACTAGACTTACTATGTCTGTTTAAATGACAGAACATAGGGCTTTTCCCCATTGCTTTAATGAGAAATGAAGTTGAAATTGCAACAAAAAGAAAAGTTGTTAAAAGGTATAAATTTAAAAAAAAACATGGAAAACCATTATCATTTTAATGAAGTGGAAAAAATGAAGTAGGGGGAAAAAAAATGAAAACCAAGTTCACTGCGACGTTATTAGTGAGACTTGAACTACGGCTGCAATGGTAATAGCTAGGTACATTGTGACCCATAACCACTGCGCGCTATATGGGACGACCTTGTATAGGAAAGTGCATTTTCAGTTTATAGCGTTTCAATTACTGAATGTAAAAATTGTTCATGCATATCACTGTAGTTTTGAGTTTAACCTAGCTCAAACAGGTATAGAAAACGCAAATTGCGTTTAAATAATTGAATCAACTGTCAACAAAAATTCTTTAAATGGTCCTCATATCCACACCCTACTGCAGATCGTCTCCAAATAGAATCATTTATTCATTACACCATGAAAAACTACTCTGCAAAGTGTCATTTTTATCCATCTATAACTGGGACGTAAGCAATTTAAATGACCCTCAAATTTACACCCTAACATTGATCGTCCCCTACACATGTAATAATATCTTCCTTGTAACTAATGGGTTAAACTTTCCCGAAAGTTTTAATTGGATCAGTTGACCCGTTTTTGAAATATCTGGTCTGGGACGTTTTCCTTTTAAATGGTCCTCATATTCACACCCTATGCCGGATCATCACAAAAATTCTTTACAAACTATTATAGAAAGTTACATTTACACCCATTGAAAACTTTTTATAGATATTTACATCTGGGATCTTAAAAATTTAAATGACCCTCCAATGTAAACCCTTCACTGAATCATCGCCAACACATTACTATCTTCCTTGTATTGGTTAAACTTTTTCTGAATGTTTCATTCAGATTCGTTTTCAAAATATGTGGTTTGGGACATTTTCCTTTAAATGGTCCTCAGGTACAACCTACTCTGGATCGTCACAAAAATTTAATTATTTCTTTACTCGACCTCTGACAAACTGTTACAAGGTTTAAATTATACCCATTTATTTTTTTTAAAGAGATATTTAGGTGTGGGTCCTCAAAAATTGAAATGACCCTCCCATTCACACATAATAATTTCTTCCTAAACATTTTCCGAATGTTTCATTCAGATCAGTTTGTCCGTTTTCGAAATATGTGGTCTGGGACGTTTTCCTTTAAATGGTCCTCAGATCCACACCATACTGCGGACTGTCACAAACGTTTAATCATTTTTTTACAAGACCTTTACAAAGTATTATAGAATGTTTCATTCAGACCCATTGGTTTTTTTTAAAGACATATTTAGGTCTAGGTCCTCAAAAATTGATAAGACTCAAATTTACACCCTTAACTATATCGTCACTAACATATAAAAATGTCTTCCTTGTAACTTGATTAAACTTTCCAGTAATACAATACAATGCAATGGATCTCTTTTAATGACGATTCACTCAGAATTAACAAACAGCGTCTCATCATAAGCACTTACAAAGAGTGGACAATGAAGTGCGTGCGTGGCTGATTTGTACCAAACAATAACATTAAGTTTGATGACTATCCCGAGGAGAAGCTCATTTTCAGCCTGACTAAACACTACCCAGTAAATTTTGTATTACTAAAAAATGAATTACTAAACACTTACTGTAATGTACAGTACTGTATAAGCCTATCAGCACAATAAACATGCATGCATCGTTAGGGAAATTTAAAACCTCTATTTGACAATGCATGTTCTGCTCCATTGCATGGGTGTTGTCCGAGCACAAAGGCACGACATATTTTGGGGATTCTAAAGTTCAATCATATACTGTAATTATTATTCTCATCATTTTGATCACACAAAATTATTCTACTACAGTACAGGAATAAAATTAATTTTTGCCTGTCCACTATTATTATTAACCTCATGCAGGGATGTCACCAGCTTTTTGAAGTGCCGGTCGGCGATCATTCCGCGTTTTCCTGGGGGTGGGGGTGCCACCCCCCCGTTTTCCCGGGGGTGGGTTGCCGTATTCGTGAAAGCTCTTAAAAACCAAAAGGCCTAAGTAAGTCGAGCAGGCCTAGGCCCAAGGCTAGCTGACGCGATTTTTTTTGGCTAGTCCCAGGTAGGCCTAGGCCAGGCCCAGGTATACCTAGGCCAGGCCCAGGTACTGTAGGCCTAGGCCAGAATTTGAGGAATGCAACAAAACAGATGAAGATGAGACTTACTCTTGGCCTAATTAAATTCAATAGTTGACATGCTTTGTTTTATATTAAAAAAATAATCCCGGCGACAAAGCGTCGATCCAACTGTACCCAGCCGCATTGTTTGCCGTAATTTCACATGTTTGACGATTACCACGATGAATGTGTATGTCACTGATTCATGTGCACTCATTTATTTATTTTTTGTCCATTTACACACATTATATATCAATTATAATTAAAAGTGAAAAACTTAAAATACAAAATGAAAACAGAGTAAAGAAATAAAACATAAATCAGGTAAACTAATTATTTTGTTACAATTTGTAAACTGTTGAAATAATAGTGGTGGTCGGGAGCCTGTAAATCCTGGTCGGAAATGTTGAGTGCTGGACGGGCCCGTCCACCGCCGATCAGCGTGGTGACATCCCTACTCATGATTGTAATTTATCAGTAGATTCTACTTTATGACCAAAAAAGACACCAAACAAGTATCCAGGAATGATGCCAGTTAAACACGTAACTGACTGATATCAATAAAGTTCAAAAGGCCGGTGTGGGGAGTATATCCCCGCACAAAAATGTATCGCTACTCACTAGGGCCGCCCTAGCCTAGGCCTAGGCCCTTTTGTTTGTTGTTAATGTTAGAAAAATGCTTCATCAACAAATAAGCATGAAAAAAAAAAACATTTAAAACAACAGCTTTTTTTAGGCCTAGGCCTACCCTAGGCCTAGTTAATGATAGACTTAGACTATCGAATGCATAATGCTGCAGGCCTGCTACTAGGCTAGTATGCCTAGGCCTAGGCTAGTAGTAGGAGAACTGGCTAGGCCTACCAAACCTATGCTAGCTACGTACATTATTGGAATAGGCTAGGCCTTGGTTTAGTTTAGACTAGGCCTTGGCCTAGCCACAACAACCAACCAAGCCTGGTCATCACTTGCGAAGTTTTTACACGGGGCACGGCAGAATAAGTCACACTTACCTTAAAGGAAATCAGGTAAAATATCCCATCATACAATATAATCGAATGTACACATATAGGCTAATTATACAGCACCTAACACAGCCTAGGCCTAGGTAAATTATGTATAAATTACTGTAAACTTAATAGTTCGTTTACATTTCACGAACCACCATCCCCACCAAAAAACACCACATAAAACCAGACTTCCTGTTCAGACAAAAAAAAATCACTAGTGATAGTGATAGAGGGCGTCATTTTACAGAATTACAGAATTTTCAGGTACAGTTATTAACCAGAAAAAAATCAAGACAAATCAGAACAAAAAAATATGTAGGCCTAGAAAAAAAAAAGAAATGTAATTGGAAAAAAAGCAATGTAAATCGATGCAAGACAAAGAGAGCCAGAAAATATATAATCATGAAAATTCATAAATTTTTTAATATAATTTAAACCGACTATCATTGGAATTCCAATGGTATTTAACAAATGGAAAATAAATCTAACTTTTTATGTTATGTCATGTCTAACAAAAATTTAGTTTAAGGGTTTTGTGGTCCGAGTCATTTTATTAACAAGAAAACTGTATAAACTGAGCCTAAACCTGTCCTATGAAATGATAATTTCACAGTAATGTCACTAATGCTTTAGTTCACGACTGAATATAGAAATGCTGTATCTAGGAATACTAATAGTACTACCGTGTTTATTAAAGGCTTTATAGAAAACTATTCAGTAAAAAAAAACATATCAAATGGTAAGGCCAAAAACAACATGGACAAATTCAGCAGAAAATATAAAAAGAAAACTGTAAGTAAATGTAATTCTGATACTACCTGAGTATTTTCCACATTGGCACACTTCATTATTATGGTGCGTCCCAAAAAAAGGACAATTAATAATATACAAAACAACTGATATGAATATAAAAAGCTGAATATAACAACTAAAACAATGAACCACAATAATAAGGTCATGTCAAAGGAATAGTTGTTGATCGTCCTTTTTTTTTTAAATAAAAGTTTTTAATGAGTAATACATGCCAAGTCTTTAAATCTCTCTTCAAGTGCAAGGCCTATGTAATTTGACGGCTCTTCCAGTGCAGTGTTTGATCAGGAGGAATTTTATACGAACAAACATGACAGACAAAATGATTTCACAAAAAAAGCCTAGGCCTAGCCGAAGTAGAATTATGGGCGGGAAAAAAATTGGTCGGGTGATTTTTTTTTTTTTATGTCACGGGAGGGGACGATTTCCAACTTATTTTTTTGACATGGCCAATGGATCAAAATTAAACAAATGAATAATAGAGTTTGACCTTAACAACAATCCAAGGGACGGGCTTAGTGTAGCTATGTGACTACCACAATCTGTGGTAGTCACATTCTCTAAGGACAAGGTCAAGGTCGAGAAAAATCGTTGCTAACCTTCTAGCATAAAGGAAAAAAAATGGAATTGCCATTATTCATCTCGATTCAAGTTTAATTCTACAGTATTCTAATTCAAATGCAAACATCATATAAAATAGTAAAATCAAGTAACATGGCAAAATTGAAGAGATGGTGAATTGAAATTGAAAGTGACATTTAAAAACAAGCGTAGCTTTTTCCAATGAAGCCCCTAAAAAATGAAAACGATTTATAAATAAATGAAAGAATGCATGAATTACGTAATTAAGAACAAACGAGCGAACGAATCAATGAAAAAACAAACGAATAAACAAACGAATGAATAAATGAAGAATGCAAAGAATGTATGAATTAAATGTATAAACAAATAAATAATTGAACTAACGAGTGAACGAATGGATGAATGATAAATGAATTAATTAATTAACGAACAAATGAATAAATGAGCGAGTGAGTGGGTGAATGAATGAATGAATGGATAACCGAACGAACGAATGAATGAATGAATAAATGAATGAATGAATTAATTAATTAATTAATGACTGAGCAAATAAATGAATAATTGAACGAACGAGCGAACTAATGAATTATTGGATGAACGAATGAATACCAGAAATTAATCATGGGACAACTGTAAATATCTAGAACAACGCTCTCTTTTCTCATGAAATTTATAGAATGAATGAACAAATGAACGAACGAATGAATGAAAAAACTAACTAAGGCCCTATAAAAAATATTATTAGTTTATCACCCTATCTGGGCAGGAAAAGTGATGAGGGAGGGAGGCTTTTTTTTAAAATTTTTTATTTTGCTAAAACTAAATATTACCCTTGGGTTGTTTGCTGGTGCATTGATATTCAAAGTAAAACATGATTTAGATAATGCAAACAATATCTACTAACTATTTAATAAAATGAATGAAAAACATAAAAAAATTAAAATTTCAAATTTTTTTTTTTTTTTTTTTTTTTTAAATGTTTTTCGAAAAATTTTTTTCCCAGTACCATAGAAGGCATGCGCGCGAGGGTGATAAACTAATAATTTTTTTTATTGGGCCTAACGAACGAGGTACAAACGAATGAATGCATTAACAAACTAACAAACGAATGAACGAATGTCATGTAAAACCAACGGGAACAATTTCACTAAAATCGTTTACAGAGGGCAGCATTTACAATGACTGCTATTTCCGTATCGCGAGAGAGAGAGCAGGAAGACGTACCTAGAGCTGTTTGTTTATTTTCGTTTCTGCCTAGCATAGCCTAGGCCTAGATGTTCAATCCACATTACCAATTTTTTGATGTAATTTTTATCGAACTGTAATCATGAGTTTGAAAAATGACGAGCAGTTCTATCAGCTCTGGCTGTTATTCAAACAGAAGGTTAGTGATGGTCAATCTACTTCCATCCACCAATCAATCAACCCTCTCCAATCCAACCAACCCCACCTGATCAGTGCAGTGTGGACAGTGTGTGGCTGGCAAGCTGTGGGGGATTCGCTGTGGGTCCTCCCTAGGCCTAGTCTGCAAGTACTTAAGTAAGACGTGGTGTAAAGTGTTTTACAGTACATAATATTGATATAAGTAATATTCATCTATAGTCCAAGATCTGTTCATTGTCATAAAATTATTCTGTTAAGTCTGCCTATGCTATTGCTAGACCCTACTAGATATTGACTTTTATTATAAAATAGTAGCACCACCTTCATTCAGGTTTTCCTGGATGGGAAGCCCCTATTGATAGAGGTTATAGACATGTCATGTCTGACCTTGCAGACCATCCATAATTCTACCTTAATTAGGGCATATGATAGCCTAGCTCTAGTAATGCTTTTGCCATGGTCTATGAATGTAGAGAGGCCATTAATTTTATTTATAAAGTAATATGAGTAAAGAACACACATTGACTAGTCTCGTTCAAAGCCTATATGGGATGTTAGGCTTCCGTCACTGAAATCTTAGCAACGCTCCACATAAAGTTAAAATCCAAGCTTACAATGCTTGTTAGACCCCACATTGAAAATTTAAGTTCTGTTTAAGTTAAGTTTGTGCAACGCACAATATCGACAAGATAGAAATGGTTTAACGGAGAGTGGCTTGATTCATCGATATTGACTATGGGAGAGGAGAGAGCTCCCATATAAATAAGATACGTATATTTCTCCCATTAGATTTAAAGCATTTAGCCATCCCATTACTATTGATTACATTCAACAATGAAATTGTATTTTTATTTTTTCCTCCGCCTGGATGTTTTTGCTAAGTCAGAAAACAATTTTTTTTCATCTTTGCTTCTTCTTAGAAACCTGCATGATTAATTAAATTCTTAATAAAATACGATAAGAAATCAAGTAATTAGTTTGGAGCTTTTAAGGACACATTCAGTAACTGCATGTAAATTGAAAATTTTGCGGATAAATGCATTGCGTTACGTTTTAGGTGTTTGGCTTATACATGTCAATTAGCTTATAAATCATGCAATACTTGCTACAAACTTATGCAAATTTCACATAAATTCTTAGCCTTTTTTTTCATTAGCAAAATTAATCTTATTCTGCAGTTTTCAAACAATGCCTAATATTCAGTCTTGATATGTGTTAGCGAGCATTTAGAGCCTTTGTTTTGGTTAAGAAGCACTTTTTTGTCTACTACCTGCTGGCAGGCAAGTAGACACTGTGGGCTATCCCCTTCATTGTGTCAAACTAAAGATTGAAGTGAACCGTCTACCAAGTAAGCCTATGAAATATGATGTATGCGTAGAACAATCTGTTACTTATACAGTTACTGTATTTATTTGAATAAATGCCCCGCTTTGAATTAATACACAAAAAATATAATTGGCTCCCTCGAATAACGACCCCTCAAAAACTCTTCTCAGCAATAAACACCTGGGGCATTTATTCGAATAAATATGGTATTCATTTTGCCAACACAAAGAATGTGGACGGGTTATTAATTAAAAGTAGGCAAAAAAAACTTATAACAAGCAGTAGACACGTGCTCCCGCTGGGAGCTTTTTTTTTTTTTTTATCGTTGATCATTGGGTTCACATGCTTACCCTATGTGCTGCTGCTGTCTTTATGTCGCATCTAGTAGTATCTAGATAATAGTAGTAATACTAATTAATATAGATCTATATTCAGTAGGTATTATGCATTGGCTAGTAGTCAAGTAACATTAAACCTTTACCTCGTAATTTAATAGTACATGTTTGATAATTCCAGTCTGTGTAGTGTAGTGTACTACTATACAATTGATTCTAGTGTGTACTAGTACGTATCCTAAAGATGATTGACAGCATTGATCTTTGAAGACCAAGTTAGTTCTATGTAGAATCATAGCTTTATTTTTGGCTTTACTGTAATTTCTTTAGTAAAACTTGTGCAGTGTTACTAGCTGATAAGTTTTATCAGGTATTAGCATTAATGTTGAAGGCAAGTTATATAGCAATTTCTGAGTCATATCCTTATTTGACTAATAATCTGACGTATTAATTGCATGCATGGTACATAGTCAGCAGGGGCATTTATAAATTATGATGTATTGGAGCCAAGCAACAAATCTCAGGATGTTTATATTTTCAATAGTACTGTATATGTGCATTATTGTTGTGTACTTAATACAACATTGATGGTGCCAGCTCTATGAACATACTTTGTCACCTACTAAATGTAATACTTTCTAAATTAAATTCTTGCTACATTTTTTTTGGGTCAACTACATTATTAGCCTTCAATAAAAAAAATAATTACCCTAAGCTTCCCTTTGAAAAGTGGTAACAAGGCTTTCATTTTTTACTTCGCATAATTAGACCACATCGATGATTGTAATTAAACAAAATAGGAGTCAATTGCATTCCACGTAAAAGTAGTATTGGGCAATGATGTACTGTTGTCAATGTCATAGTGTTTCAACTTTCAACACAGCAAAATATATGTCAAAATGGCTAAAATAAAAATATTGAAAAAAAAGTTCAGGATTCTAGCAACAGTGGTGTCGACAAGAATGGTAATATAATCATTTTATCACAGACACTATATACAGGACCTTCAATAGTAAAATACCAATACTGGTGGTTTATGTATTTTTAGATACTGTAGGTCTTACGAATCAGAGCTTGTAGGTTTTGCTAGACTTGCTACAGTAGGTTATGATTCTATATTTTATCATGAATAATTGATTTTTTTTTTTACCTGCTTTAAGTTTCTGAAGGGTTTTATCAACATTTTCCCATTCTTTAAATGCAAATTTTAATTATCTTTTTGTTTCATGTTTGTTATTATTAATTATAATGTTGCTATTATTTGTATAATTGTTAGTTGTTTTGTTATACTACTAATCTATACTACTAATAATAAAAAAAAGTACTGTACTACTCCGCTATTAACAGAATTTCAACCTTTTGCTGCTCTTTCTGGTCTTAATAACTCACTCAAAACAGAGCCAAATGTAGGCTAAATCTTCGAAATAATACAATTTGATGGGCTTTTAATGTTATTTCCCCGCAATTAAAATTGGTCTTATTTATACTAACATTTAGTAGCTTCATTTTAGTAGTAAGTTTGCGTGTAATAGGCAATCTGCACATAAGACGAAAATGATTTAAAAATCAAAAAATTGTATGTGTTGCACATGTAAAACAACCCCCTGCTTTTCTATCGTAATTTGCTATTTTAAGTGTGAATATACGGTAACCATAATGAAGGATTTTGTATTAATACAAGACTTGTGTATGCTTTATTTTACAGCATGATGTAGAATACTTAAAGGGGTACCTGAAACATCTAGTAAATCACTTTGAGAATTCTATTGACCTGCAGTTCAAACACATTCAGGAAGGGTATGTAAAACCATCTAATATTGCTTATCCTACATTGGTTCCTGATGACTGGTTTAGTAGTAGATGCTCATTCACTAATACTGTACTTGCAGCTCCATAATCATGTGTGCTTGCCAACTCTCCCTAATTTATAATATCCAGACTGAATGTGTGTATTATTATTTTCTGTATTATTAATAAACAATAAAAACAATTTGTGATATATATTTCCATACTATTTAATGGTACATACAAAGCATTTTCTGTTTCTAGGATAATCACAGTAGTCTAGACAAACCTACCCCCACTCTGTCCCACAGCCACAACCTGCACCTAAGTTTTCACTGAAACATCAGGACATAAACTCCAGATTTTTTAATTCTTCTATGTTGGCATGTATGTAGGTCTAAAAGTATTTAATGTAACATATTTTTTCTCTGATATCTGTTCTATAAAAACATTAGTCCTGTTAAAAGGAAACACAAAAAGATATTGATTAAAAGAAATAAAAAAGAAACAAGCAAAGTACATGATCCATAATTAAGGGATAATAGGTAGAAACAGCTCCTAGAACGAAAATTTGTATGAAAACACAAACCAAGAAAAAATTTGATTTTGCAACATTTAAGCATACTTGAACTCGATTAAGCATTGTTAATGTTATTTAAATATACTGTATTGTGCCATCCAATTCGAGTCCACCTTTGAGACCTGCAAATTTGGGGTGGTCTCTGTGTTCGGTTTCCAATTACTGTAGAGGGTTAGCTCTGTGTTAAAAGATTGAAGATTGTTATTTGGGTCTTTAGAAAAGTGGTTTTGAATTGGAGTGTGCACTGTATTATGTTTGAATAATAATAATAATAATAATTCTATACTTCTATAGCAGATTCCGCAAAAAGCCTCAGTGTGCTTTACAAAAAGAAAAGAAAACAAGCAGTATTTGTATGTAAATATGCTATTCAGCTTTAGTTTCCAGGTGAAATAATAATTGATCTGAAATGAATTGAATGTTATGGACAGACATACTGTAGAGTATCAAGTATGCTGCAGGTGTGTTAAGAACAAAATGAAATAAGATACATTGCATGTGATGTAGTCAACTGTAAAATAAAATTAACATGAGTATGATTTTCTTGTGTCTCTTCCTCTAGCCCCCATGGGCCTTCGTAGGTCCCTGGATTTTCCCCTGATCAGTGAAAACTTGATTAAATCTTATTGAAGTTATCACACTACACACACCATTGTGAAAAAAAAGATAATCTTAGAACAAATATTTTACATTAGTTTATCTTGCCTGACACTGCTGAGAAAGCTCTAAGAAATTTGTATTTCTTCCTACAAGTAAATATGACATTCTTTATGAACTTGCGATAAGATCGGAAGCATCTATGGATGCCCTCTATTACTTTTTTTACCTTGCATGCTATTTTTATTTGTCAATAAAATTTTATTTTTATTTTTTCCTCCACATAGATGCTTTTGGCAGAAGCATTTTGCTAACTTGTTTAACAAAATTTTACTTTAAATTGTTTCTTCTCTCTGACAATATGAAAAATGAAGTATGTTATTTACAAGGTATAGTACTGTAAACATGTTAAATTAAAGGTAATTTTGTATTCATCATGGATACTGTTTTTATTATGTAATAATAATTTAATTTATTTTATTTAAATTTATTTTTATACTGACCATCAGTGAATCATTGCCACTGGTTTAACATTTTTAAACTACTTATTAAATAAACAATAGAACAAGTAAAAAGTAAAAAGTAAAAGTAAAAGCCACCAAAATTCACACAATATGTAGAAACACAATTTTTATAGGATATACAGTTTACTATTGCCATTTTAATACTGCTCTAACTTGTACACTGTTTTTAATGTAATTTATTGCATTTGGTATGTTGATGCTTCTGTTTCAAGGGGTTTGAAGGAAATAAAGAAATAAAAAGTCTCACCTAAGTACTGGAACATATACCTCTATGTATGTGAAGTGTTATATTGTTGATATTCCTAATAACTCTGCATGTAAGAATCCATTCAGGTGTATATAGTCTACTTCGTGAGTACTTTACCTGGATAAACCGACAAATTGCCTATTCTTTCTCACACATGAGAACACCCCTCGAAAAATAATAGAACTGCCGACTCCTGGTATATAATTTAAAATTTGCTAGTCACGTTTCCTTTTCAGGTATTAAGTAAAAAACTATTGTGCTTATTGCAGAAATTCTCCTGTGTAGATTGGAGATGAATTAAGATTGAATAAAAGCCTTTATGATTGTATAGCCCTACTTATGTTGCAATTGCAATTTGAACTTAGTGAACATGTAAAGTGTGATGTTAGATTTTTAAGCCTATAATCACTGTGGTAAAGTTTAATCACAACATTGAATGGCTTATTTAAAGATATACCGGTACTCGCATCACACTCAAACCTCATTTATTGCAGGATGCTATTAACTTGACTTATGTTCCTAAGAACCTTTGAATTGGCGCTAATTGAATTTCTGTTTTTGAACATTTAAACAAAATTAAAATTATTCAATTTAAATTAAAATGAGAAAACCATTTTCTTTTGTCATTTATTAATAGACATTTTAATAATACTGTTTCTATATTAAATTTGTTTTAATTTAATCTTTCTTTATTCTGAAATACACTTTTAATACAATGTACTGGTTTCAAAAGTGGTTCAGTTAGATAAAAGAAACAAAATATACAATTAATAAAAGTAACTTAACTAATGTAAAAGTCTTTGAATATACTCTTAAATTTCTGCCAGCAAAATTAAGGATTTACCTAGTACAATCTACTATGTAAGTCACTGGCCATATTTGACTGGTAGTTTTTTTTTAGAACGATTTTTTGTTAAAAATTATTTTCATATGACTGGTTAGCTGAATGTGGCCATTGAAAATTTATTTTTCTTGATCAGTGACATTTTGTAATTTCGTATTTCAATTTCATAAGTTTTTAAAACAATTTTTAGACTAATATTTGTGATAACCAAATGAAGTATATTGTTCACATTTATTTTACAAGTTACTAATGGAAATTGTAATTGCTCTGGTCATAATACTAAATTCACCGATATTGATTCTCACTACTTAACACTAGTAAAAGAATACCTTGTGTAGATTTACTGGCAGTCTTTAGCAGATAATATCAAGGAGTACATTCTTGGGTTTCAGAAGTTTTTCTTTTTAATTTTCAGATGCCAACTAGATAGTATTTCTATGACAGCATTACCAAGTAACTTTCTTCAAGTAATAAGGGAAAAACTGGAACAGAGCCAAATATTGCTAGCAGAGGACTTTCAGCCAGATGCAGTACAGTTTGTTCTAGATATGGTCAAAGTTTTAATTATATTATGCAGGTATGAAATGTTACGTTGCTTTTAATTAAAGTGTTGAGTATCACCAGGGATCTACATATTTGTGGCACATGGCAACATATTGGGGACACATGGTTGCCTATTAATGTCACATTGTCATATATTGGTGCCATATTTTGTAAATATTATTGCCATATCTTTTGATTCTATATTTGAGAAAATGTTAAAAATAGTTTTCCTTTGTGTATTTTTTGTTCATAGACATTAATTGGCTAACAAAGGTGACATACATGTAATTGGAAACTTTCAGGAATACTTTTTGCATTATAATAATTAGTCCTTTAAATAAAATTAGGCTTTAAGTATATGGGCTTATTTAGTTCTTTTTCAAAAGATCATTAATTTTTTGTTTGCATTTTAAATTTGTGTTTTCAGAAATCATGAAAATATAGCTCTCATTGCCTCTTGTGAATTTTTGCGCCAGATTATTCCGATAGCATCTACTGTTCTGAAAAAGGTATACAACTTGATATTATTTTTCATACCTGCATTAATTAGGCTTGTGCCATTTTACTGCATGAATATAAACAGGTGTTAAGTGACTAATACCTTGCAGTTTGTTTGCGGTTTTAATAGTTTTTACGTCAACTTATCAGCATGAAATTGGCGTATTAGAAGATTGAACATCCTGAGTTTGTAGGTGGAAGGAAATTGAAAGTGAGAGGCGACTAAACATGGCTAAGACGATCATGATGAAAGATCAACAGAAGATCCTTTGGTGACCGCGGCGCCTCAGGTCAGTGGGGGATGACCCACAACTGACGGCTATCAGGCCAATGAAATTATATCCATGCTACTCGTCCCTCTCGATCCTTTTTTGCGTCACCACCTTAAAGTTTTTTTAGTTCCAAGGCAAAAGACTTAAACATGATACAAAATTTCATTCATTCTCATAAGAATGAGTATGCAGAAATAGTATACAGAAATTAGAACTAGTATAAACAAACAGTATACAGAAATTCATTAATTCACATAAGAATGGGTGTCCATTGATAGCTAGGCCACAGATGTATTTGGTGTGAAACATTAGAGGTTTTCGGTCTGAAACACAATAAAGCAATAGCCTACTAGATAGACCAAGTCCAAAAAGCCTGTTTCCAGTTGGTTTCTTCTGGTAGTGAATTGGGCAGTACACCAAAAGATAATTTCCTACCCTTTGGCGAAGAGTAGTCTGCATTCTTTAACACGCATATCAGCCATATTGCATGTAGAACCAATGATGGTCAGAAGACCAGGAATAGATATAGTAAATGAAGCAGATGACTAGGCCAAAATTATCCTGCCTGGAGAAGCTTCGTGAGAGGGTTTCAACTGACAGTATTATGGTAGTCTACCATGTGTTTGGCGGAGAAGGTGAGACCAAAGTTCAGAAAGAATCTCCACAGTTCAGCACTCAAACACTGGTCTGCCACCAGTTTAGCTGACTGAGCTAAACTGTTCTCTGTGTATGTGTAGATGTGCAACTACAGTTGCACGTCTACACAGGTATATTTGATGTAGCCACAGTTAAGGATAAAAAAGAGGCCTTCATCCTCTTTTAAAACATTCATATGGGAAATGGGTTTTTGCCTAAAAACAGAGTGATAGATTGAATTTATTTGCTATAAAACAAAATCTAATTAACATATAATTTTTATATATAAAAAATACATACACAGCAGTCATTCTTATTTATTTAAAATCATGAGCAAAAATGTAAGACGTTGATGTTTATGAGGGATTGCCAATTAATGTTGTTAAAATACACTTGTTTCCAATGGGGTCCATGCATATAAAGATTTGAAATGTGAGAGGAAAAAAACAAGAGAATTAAAGAATTCAGATAATTTTTTGTCCTCACGATAATTACCTAACATCGAAGTTACACACTTTTAAATAAGTTTATCAAAAAATGGGAAAATTTTGGACAGTGCCTTTCTATTGTTTTAGCCATTCTGTCAATGCAAACATATTGCAAATATAAACGACAATCAAAACATCTTATAAAAGAAGTAAACTCACAAATAATGTCTTTTTCCAACTTAATCCTAGTCTGCTTCCAGTGGATAAAGTAAATGTGTAAGTGCATGTTGTTAAACCTCTGTGAATAATAATGATGATTTATATTTTTCAGATTCAGGATGTTGATTGTGATTCATCTAAAGAAAGCTATTTGGATTTTATTAATCATACTCTCCATCTTGGTGAATGCATGTACGATCCCTTTCACACGTGGAGGAAGGCTCTTGTAGGGTAAGCATTATAATCATCTCGTGATCAGGAAAAGAACAAACAAAAAGGACACAACAAATCACTACAAATATGATATAGGCCTACAAAACTTTTAAAACCTGCCAATAGTTGGTTTTTTCCACACCAGTCGAAAACCCATTGTTTTTTTTTCTGATTTTTTCTCCTGTCCGCCATTTTGGTCACTCTCCATACTTGGATCTTCTTCAAAATTTTTTACAAGCAAACATCATGTATGAAAGAGGTGCATATTAAAATATTATGTGATTCTGCATATTTCTAATATTAATAAAAGAGTAATTAGTCTGTTATTATTATTATTATTATTATTATTATTATTATTATTATTATTATTATTATGTTAATGTGATTTGTATTTTCTAAAGCATTTTTAAAAACTAGCTGTAGCTAGATTAAATCCAAAATTACAGTGAAATGCATAGACAATTTTCACCCTCAACATACGAAAGTACACAAGGTAGATAAACTAAAAATGTACTGACCTCTGTAGTGTCAGCTTATATGTGCAATCCTTAGCACTCTCCACATCACCCTCAATGTTACCATTGCAGCCCAAGTTTAAGTCTGATGTTTTCCAATTTTTTTTTTTTCATATCATTTTTTTCATTTTATAATTTCAACATCAGTTGTCTTTATAGCAATGAGAAAAAGTCTACTGTAGGTTAGACATAGTAAAAGTCCACTGTAGGTTAGACATAGTAAAAGTCCACTGTAGGTTAGACATAGTAAAGGTCTACTGTAGGTTAGACATAGTAAAAGTCCACTGTAGGTTAGACATAGTAAAAGTCCACTGTAGGTTAAACATAGTAAAAGTCTACTGTAGGTTAGACATAGTAAAGGTCTACTGTAGATTAGGCATAGTAAAAGTCTACTGTAGGTTAGACATAGTAAACCTAGTTAGTTTTGATCTGTGGTTTATCGGAAATGGATCAAAAACTGAATGGACACTTCCACTAAGCTCCACCTCTTGAATATTAGCGAGCTTTCGATTTGTTCGACGACACGACGCTAGAACGGAATAACTCATGCCTGACCGTTCTACCGGGCGTCCTACGTTTTCTGCATATGTAGATTTGGCCAAATTGCGTCCTAGAATCCATGTGACGAGGAAAACTTAATGTTCTCACATGCGCAGCAGACTGTTAGTGACGTCATTATGTTCTATGTTCTATGTCCTACCGTCGTCCTGCAATCAAATGCTCCTGATTGTTACTAAAGTGCCATGGAACAATAGCGTAAACATTCATAGGCTCTGGAGTTTTTGCGAGACAAGCACGTGGACAGTTAAGTTTGATGGACACTATTAAAAGATCCATTGAATAATATTGTGTGTTTTACTAGAAGTGGATAAATTATTTAATTCTTTTAAGTTGGCAATTTAATGTTTAATTTAGTTTTTGAGGGTTTCTTTCACAAGTCAATAGACAGTATATGTTTTATTTACAGAAGTCATTTTCAGTTCTGTATTATACCGCCTCCATACTTAGTTGACTTTATTTAACATTGAGTGACTTACACCTACGTCAGCAATTTCTCTTGTACACCTTATGATAGTGAATCAAGCCAATGACTTAGAATTTTGAATGATAGCAATCTGTGAGATCTTAGTTCAATACCCTTGTCAATTTGAGAAAGTGAAAGTTGGTAGGAGTTGGCTTATAGGTACAACGTTTCTGTGCAATAACGCATGATTTCATATAATAGCCACTGAATTCAGATGTGACAAACTTCATCAGTCACAGCCTTTTGACAAACTCATTGTCCATAATAAAAACTTCATTTACAGTTTCTTTTGAAATCACTCTGCTTGTAAGACCGTGTAAAAACAAAACCAAATGGGATAACTTACCTCCAATGCTCGATCATTGTTTGTACTATGAAAAAACCATAATGTCAGTAAGTAAAGTGTTTAGGCATATTTTGCCCATTCGACTTTAACACTGCCAACTGGTGAAATGTAAGTGTAACATGGTTCAATCAATCAGTCAATCAGTTTGTCATTTGCATCAGTACATAGTCATGTATAATTTGTAAATATGCAAATTAGGGAGTTCCAGTAAGCTTGTATTTGGTACTGTGCTAGCTACTTAATTATTGATTCATATACACAGCACCTCGAACATTGGAATACTTTTAAAGGATGATATTTTTCCAGCAGAAAGTCCTAAAGATTACGTTTAGATGTTGCAAGGATTGAAGACTGATTAATTTGAATTGGAAGATCAAGCCATTATTGAGGACCAATAAAAAAATTATATAATTTAATCATTTATGAGAAATTACACTTTTTCATCAGTGGCACACTTAATAAATGATGTTATAGCTCATTGTTTTTTATACCCAAATCATGTTTTTCTAATTTACATTGATTAAAACACTAGTGCTTTATGCCCTGGTGTATCTGTGGGATCATTCATTAGTTGAGCTGTCAGTGTAAAAAGGTTATAAGTCTGTTTCACTCTGTGTCAGTTTGTATTGTCACAGCACACTTGTCAACATGCAAGAATTAAGTTGTTTACTTCCTATATGGCGCATTTTCCCCTAAACTCATTATCACATCACATGTTGCAATAAAATTATGTTGAGTTAATGATGTTACCGTCTAACTCCATTCTTTGCTTTTGGTTTATCTTGTATTTCTTTTACACCCAATTACATGTGCTCTTGACAATTATATGATGGATCATTTAAATAATAAACTAGACCTATGTCTATTTGGAAAACAGAAAATAGGGCTTTTCCTTATTGCCATAATAAGAACCAATGCTTGGAGTTACAAAGTCAAAAAAAAAATCCCTAAAAATTCTAAAGTAAAAAATTCTTGGAAAACCATATAAAAGCTCATTAAAATAAAGAAGAAAAAATAAACATGGAAGCCAACTCAGCGTCAGTGAGACTCAAATTATTGCTGCAATGGTAATAGCAAGAGTAATGTGGAGAGTGTTAAACCATAGAATCTGTCCCTGCGTTGGTCGTTATATTTTTAGTTGTCTACCTTGAAAAAATTATTTATTTCCTGGTGCTTTTGCATTTATTCTAGCTGTAGTTAGTTTGAATTTGAAATGCTTTAGAAAATGAAAATTGTGTTAACATAAAAGTTTAATTACCCATTTATTAATAATAAAAAGATGTAGAATGACGTTATATTTTGATGCACATCTTTGGTATGCACTCTTTCCTTCAACACAGTTTTAAGAAGATCCAAGCATGGAAAGTGACCAGAGGGGCAGACAGAAAAACCCTGTGCAATATGTAGGAAAATGATATAGAAGAAGAAAAAGAGAAATAAAAATCAGAACAAAAAGAATGGCTTTTCTGGTGCAGGCAAAGCCTATAAAAAATACAAGAGTAGCTATACCAACATTTGAATAGCATGCTACTCATAGAAAGGCAGACATCTTAACCATCAACCTACAGCTCTATTCCACTGTAGTTTTAATGTGACTAGGTATAACATGTCAACATGCATTAATTATTGATATTCATTCATTACTCACCACACACAGCAAAATGAAAATACCCTGGAACTCTCATCTACCTCATCTTTTAATCGCAACATCCTATGCAAATATTTTTGTGAATAATTTCATTGATTAAACTTATCAGATTTGTAAAATATTCAATCTCTTCATTTAAACAGGTTTACAAGAAATTATAAATACTTGCACATATGGTTAACATTACACTCTATATTGATATCCCGCATGTAATTTTAACTTGTACATCACAGTACAGTAGTGATTTTTTTGCAGCCCGCGAAAATGAATTAAAACCCCTATGTGTGTAGCCCGCCAAGCAACATTGACTAGAAAACACCTTGTTTTTTATGGCCCCACACACTGATCTTATGTAAAAAGTAGTAGGTGCAGCCCTCGGTATTAAATTAAAAATTCACTTTGGCCCTCCTACTGATTTTTATGCCTACCCCTGTCATACATTAAATGTTCTAATTATACCATCATGATCAAGTAATTTGTTTTAATATATCATATCCATTCTGAGTATTCCTGTTAGAAAAATCTATTATTATGTTTAGGATTGCATTCTAATAGTTAAATTTTACTTTTCTAGACACAAAATGGATCCAAGACAACTGCATAACCAACCTGGATTCCTGTCTGTAGAATTTGTACCATTTTTCTATGGTTAGTGTAATTATAGCATTTAATTCAGCTTAAGTTTATTCATTAATGCATGATTAATTATAAGATTAATAATTAATTATTTTTATAATTATATTTTAATAATGTAGATATACTGTACTAATAATTTTTATATTATATATGGTGCTTTTATACTCCTGTGTTCTCAATAAATAGCTGTTTTTTTATATTAAACATGTTAATGTAATTTTTATTTTTTATTGATTTATAGATTGCTTTCAGGGAGAAATCAATCAACTTCCAGAGGAAATTGAAGCTCATCTCTTTCATTTATTTGGGGCAATACTTTCGGGTAGCACAGTAAGTATGTTGTGGTACTTATTAAGCAATACATTAGTTTAGTGTTCTATCTGTGACATCATCATTTTCATTTCATGTAATTTTTCTATCGTTGAGCAGACTTTAATTTGTGCTAGTATCTTGCGGCTTGCAAACACACACAACAAACCTAACCTTTTCTATGGCTTTGGTTAACACAAAAGAAGCCTAGTCCTAGGATACGCCTATAAAAAACTATTACAAAGCTTTTCCTACAGTAGGAAACTCTCACATAATAATGGTGTGCGATCACAGAACTGTAAACCATTTGACTTTTATTATTATCAGGTTTTGGGAGAATAAAGTAACTGCAATAGTATATACCATCACCAACTATTCATTTTTGTTTACATTGGCTTATGAAAATCTTGAATTTGTTTATTTAGTGCAATGCATTTCCTGGTTCGACAAGTTTTAAAATGTACCCTTTTACCTGAAGAATTGTATCCATGTCTGCAATTGTGCATGCATGGAGGTGTAAAATTAGAATTAATACCTCCATGGTGCATATAAGCATTTGTCTCAGCATGGTCTCAGTCTAACTAGTTTTTTAAAATGTTGCCTATTTCTATTACCAAGAATATATAAAGGAAACAGATCTCACTCGGTTGATTTTGTGTCCACACAAGGAAATGCAACTGTACTACCAGAATGTTAAACTCTGTCCACACTATCAAATTGTCTTTGACAAAAACTGTTGTATGCCCATATATAGTCATGATGTGCCTATAAATGGTGATGATGTGATGCCTTCATTACCATATTTAGGCATGTCACATGTTTTTTGTCAAATAAAATTTGCTAGTCTGGACAGGGCTTAATGGGGGAATGTGGACCAATGAATTTAAATATTCTACGGTAGACAATTTTACCTATTAACACAAATTTCATTAGATTTTCAATGGACTTTTTGCATTATAAGTTTGAATTGGTTATTCATTATAAAATTTTACTGTTGCACAAACCATAGAAAATCTAATATGTCTCTCAAATAAGCACTCCACTTTGAATATTTTGGTCACACCAAACATGATTTCTTTCGCTAAGGGCCACTTTGATTATTAGAGCCCTAGCTGCTTATTACAGATGTATATTCTCTTTGTAATAAACTTTACAGCACTTAACTGAGAGTACATATTATACCTTCCTTAATGTTTTATTGAGAAATTATTAACAACCGATTTCTCACAAAATTAGCCAAGGCTAGCATTGGTTCTCCTTACTACATCACAGTCAGCAACAAAGCATTGATCTACTTCAAAATAACTTTGTAAGTCAGTTGAGAAATGCAAAATCACTAAAGTGAGCTGATGTGCACATAATTATTTCTTTCATATATTATGGAAATACCAATGTATTAGGATAAGAAACAGACCAGCCACTACTACTACTATTGCTACTATGGCAAACATTGTTTTTACAGTCTAGTGCATCTTCATAAGGGCCTAAAAATATAGTCGTCTTGAGCTTTTTCCTGTCCTGTACTTAGCACATTTATTATCCATGCTATATATGATTTTTATAGATGCCATAAACAAACACAATTTTCTGCGTGTTTCTGTAGGAAAATGCTCTTAAGGTGGTATCACCTGCAACCGTAGACCTTATCTTTCATCTATTGTTACCTGAGAAATGCTTGCCAGGTGGTAACAACCTGGTCCTAGGGGAGGAGCCATCTCTCTGCGACCTGGTCTTAAAGTGCATTGTCTTAATGGTCCAGGTAATTCATACCTGTTCACCTGAGGAGGTAAGTAATACCAAGCCTTCTTTACTCATCGTTTGGCTGTAATAATAATCAGAATAAGGTAATCCTGTATAGTACCTGGGATCTAAAATGTTTAATTATTCTACGTCCTAGCCTGGGAATAATACAGAATTAAAATGACAAAGGTTCAACACAATTGTCGACATTCAGAACTTAGTTCTGTATTACCTAAAAATTAGTATCATTGAAATGCTATAGTTGACTAAAGTCGGTTTTCTACTAGGCAAATTTATTGGCGTGAAGCGAAAGTGCGCAAATTAATTTTCATGCCCTAAGGTCATTCACCAGACTGTTCACTTTTTCGCACGAGTTGTTCGCTTCAGCAAATTTTTGAGTTCTAACAGTTTCTACATTTTGCAAAGCGAAATTATGCGCAGCCAATCAGAGCTCAGGGAAACATTTAATCACGTCAATATGAGCACTGAACCAAATCGATATATGTACACAACCATGGCTCGCCAACATGATTTTGGCAATGCGGTGAATCTTTTCGCTCATGCAATAGAAAATAAAGCACTTACAGACAGGTTTTTTCCCCCTGCGAAACTTTTGGTATCGCACAAATTAATTCGGTGGAAAATGCACTTTAGATAAACATTATTATAGCAATATTAGCCACATCATAGAGTGTACAAAACATACAAGTTTTGACTGATTTTACAACTATCAGAAAGGTATATTTTGTGAGGGGATAAACAGAAGTTAAAATTATAAACAGTAATAATACAGCTATTACTGGGATTTATGTCAGTGGGCTTATATATTCTTCAAATCATGACTTTTTAAAATGTTATATTCATTTTATTAGAGGCAAGTAGATATAATGGAGATTCTTGGCGACCTGATGAAGGCACTTCATAATAGCAAAGACAAGCCTGACTTACAATTGAAAATACTTCGTAAGTAATTTAATCTATTAATATGTTACTGTCAATACTTGTTTAACCTGTATTGAATTGTTTGTGCTCTAGATATAGGCCTATTTTCTTTTATGTGTCAAATACGATTTAAAATAACATGGAAGTTCATTGCATGGTAACACTTTTTACATGTTACTCTTTATTTGTAATGTCATGTTATTATGTATAATTGCTTGAATAATAATGAAAACACATAACCTTCTGTCATAGATTTAATAATTAAAAAGCAGATGTCTCTCATTTTGATTGGTTGATTTAGGTAGTTAACCAACTGCCTGTTTATCAACCCATTGCTGGCTTTGTGTAATATTTTGTATAGCTTTTGTTGGGCAATTGTTATTCATGTTGTAAGTGAATAATTTGATAATAAATCATGAGCATGATGAAGAAACCTTAAGCCCTACCTTTCTAAGATTTTGATATTTGAAAGCATCTTCATTCCTACTATTTAAACTCTGTCCACACTTAAGTCTTTATGTGACAAATACTAAGCATATGGGTGTAATGTGACATCATCAATACGATATATACATCATATATACGACATTTTCAGATACCTGAGTATGTGATCTTTAAAATGAGGGGTCATTCATTGAAATTGGACAGTCTATTTCGTGAATACTTACCTGGATAACCGACTAATTGCCATTGTTCCCAAAACGGAACAACCCTTCGAAAAATGGAACAGTCCGACCCAAGGCGCCATGTGCGAACCGTCTCCCTAACAAACGTCCTCATTCCCTTTTCGACGTTGTTCGAAGTCAGATCGTCTAGCCTTTGGAAAACTAGCAGGACTGAGTATGTGATCTTTAAAATGAGGGGTCATTCATTGAAATTGGACATTTCAAGTCTAAGTTATTTGAAAATTGAAAGTACAGCACTCTTCAAGTCAAGATAAACATGATTTTGAGTAATTGCCTTCCAAAGTTATTTGTGCATACATTGTTTAATAGAATTAACTATCTAAATAACATTAAATAAATGATTTGTTGACCACTTCCAGAACTAATACTTTGGGACATGATTAATAAGACATTAAGCTGTTTATTTATAGTGAAAAAAAATTTGGATTTTAGGCAATTTTTTTGAGCTCCCATATTAATAGCTTATTTACTCAATACTGGCATGTGCGACAACTTAACCATTTCGCCACAACATGCCTCATATACTTGTCACATTAAACCTAATGGTGTGTACTGAACTTTACATAGCAGTTCTTGTAAAAATGTTATTTTATATTATGATGAACTGCGAAGCTTATTTAATACCAAAAGTTGACCCTTTTTATAGTTTGATTCAGTTTGCTGTTGGGATTCCTGTCTCAGTTGTTGTGTCGTGTTTATTGTTGTTGAGACGAATTGTATGAAAAGAAAATAACATATTTAAACATCTACTGGGGTTAGCTAATTTATACTTAAACAATAACAAATAAATATACCATTCATATGTTTTTTGCTTATACCCATGAATTAGCAGGAAATCAATTTAAGGATTTTATAGCAAAAAAATTTAAATCAGCAAAAATTATTGTTTCTATTTAAATCTCATTGGATACTACATTGATAATTTTGAAGCGAAAAATTCACTGTTTTATTTGAATTTTGAAGAATCTTCCAGATTTCACTACATACCTGTATATTTACATACTTATAATTTATTTGTTTCAAAATCTTCATATTTATTTCACTTTTTAATTCTATATGCAATATCTGGTTTTATTTACTAAACTAGTTTTGGTTTTTACTTTACGTTATGTAATGTTCGTACATCAGTACAGTACCTGAACAGGTTAACATGAAACACTTAATGAATAAAACAATTTGTGAAAGTAAAATTGTACTTAAATAGTAAGTGTAGTTTGGTTTGGAGCACATAAATCAAACATTTAAGGTAATAAAATTACTGTATGAGAGGATACAACATAAAATTTAAAGTATGTTGAAATATTTAGCAGAAAATAGTTTTTTACTTACATGTCTGGAATTATAAAATTTAAAAATAATATTACAAGAGAATATAACAAATATATTTTGAAAAATTTATATTTTAAACAGAAAATATAATTCTACTTAAGACTGATATCATTTTAGTTAAAAGTAATAGAATTACTATAGGATATATGCTTTAGAAAAGTAATAGTCTAAACAGAAAGTAAAATAGTACTTACATAATTGATGTTGCTTGGTTTGAAACACGTAAATCCATATGGTTAAATAATATAATCTTAAATTGTACATCAAGTATCAGAAGGCATGGGATAGGCAATCAGAATGCCGATATTCATGACACGTTGGTTTACACATCTTGAAGTGAACTCCACTAAGATCGTCCTCTTCCTTTAAACTATTCACACACTTTCTCTACGTTGACTCGACACTCGACCTTATTAATCTGCCCCCTCATGACATGGTTCCATTTTTACACACACACACACACGTGCTGCTAAATTTTATTTAATCTTGCTTGCTGCCATATTTTTACCACATTATTTTCTTTCCGATCCGGTTGCGGTTTGATGCAGTCACCGTTTCTTTCCCATTTTGATATGCTTCCCAAAGCATTTTTTTGCTTTATTTTTATTTGCCAGATGAAAATGAAAGTAAAATTTTAATTTTTAGCTCTACATCGTAGCAATCAACTAGCAACATGTTGAATTTTTAGACATGAAAAAGGAAAGAAATGTGAGAAAAAAAAAGGAGAAATGAGCTATAATATTTGTCAATCAAGCGATAAATCTACGCTTTCAACTTGGAGTACAGTATATCAATTTTTCTACTGGTTGGTAACCTTTCTCACTGTGGGGTGATAACACGGGAACAGATCTAAACGAAGTACTTCATTTTTAGCTTGACTAATATTATAAAAAATTTATATTTTCGGCAAAACCTGTTCTTTCTGATTTTAAACATATATGGAATATTAAGCTTTTTTAATTTCATCACTATAGACTAACCACAATTAGAAATGAATTAACAAAAAAGAAATTCATAAAATTTAGAATTTCATGATCATGGTGGGAATAGTTCAAGCAGAGTAAAACATTTTCATCCACAGGTTATTCTGCGATAGTAAATTTGATACACAAATAACATTTTAAACAATTGGAAAATGACCAATAAAACAGGTTATTTTGATTTCAATATTCTAAAAACGATCATCTTAATAGAGAATTGTTTTATATATTGATGATTGACCGATGTGTTGAGGGAATTAAGATAAATTATTTGTGTTCACTACATGACTCAATTAATCAATCAAGTTATTAAGAATAACACATTAAGATCGGTGGCACACACAATAATAATAGTGGTGCATCCAAATTAACAATTTTTACAGACAGTGAGGTAAATTAAAAGTAGGCGTATAAAGAAACACAATTAAAAATAATATGTTTAACTTAATGCTAAACAAAACCTAGAAAATTAATTAACGTAATTGATAAAATACAAACAGGCCAATAAAAATCACAAACCTGTATATCAAACAAAAACAACATATAAAATAAATTTAGAATTAAAAATGAGAGAAAAGTCAAAAGTAGGACCATGTCAATGAAAAATTGCTTATTAAGCACTTTGATGTGTTGTGTGTAGGATGGGAGAATTGTAGCAAACAGTGATTTTACAATAATTTAAAATTTAATTATTCATAATATTTAATCGTCTATTGCACCTTCATAGTTTATTACTGGCATTAATGACTTCTATCTTGTTAATTAACACAGACATACTTTTAATGTCAGTAATTGACTGGTAATGATTTTGGCATTCTCAGAATTCTCCAATAAAGTATATTTTAACCTAATATAAGTATGGGATTTTTAATTTTAAGAATTTAGTGGAAACTAGTAAAGGAAATGATGTCGTCCCTTTTGGGTGAACTTTAATTAATGAAGTAATGTTGTTTTTTAAAGCATGACTATTTAAAAGATGTAGGAGCATTGCAAATACAGATAACAGTCATGTGAGATTGGAAGTCTAAACTTGTATGGTACAACACTTTTAATGCAATTTACTCTGATGTCAATGCAAATTGAAAGATACCACACAAGAGTGTAAGCATTTAACATGTGCATATGATTCAATTAATTACTTTAATTGGTGGCTTCACTGCTTTAATTACTCTTGTGTGGTTGGTGAGTTTTATTGGTATAAATATAGCGGGGAAAAATACATAGAACTAAATTATACTATGAGACAGAATTTGTCTTAATAAAAGAATAAAGTTGCAATCTAAGATTGTAATTTTAATTAAAGATGTCCTCCCTGTGTTTAGCAATATCCGCTTTTTTCATATTCATTTGACATCTTAACAGCAAGTACATAACTGGCCAATCACATGAAGGAATGATGCTTTGGAAGTCTCTTTATGAGGCTTAGGGAGTGGAGCTGTTTTAGTCCTCGGCCATTCCAAGGTAAAACAATATAACTACATAAAAATGTAATAGCAGTTACGTTGTTTTGCCGTGGGACGTCCATCCTGTGAGAAAAAACTCAGCAGAGACAGGGTTTAAACCCAGGATCCTGGGATTAGAAGGCAAGCATCTTAACCACCAAGCTATTCTGTTCCATTTTTTATAGAAAAAAGTTCAGAATTGCTTAATTTTTACATTTAAATCTTTTCAATTAAAATTGAAAACAATGATGCATAATTGAGACCCCCTAAGGCTATACTGTCTCTGGTGATATCTGTAAAACAACTTAAAAATTTAATTAAGAAATTGAATTACTCATTATATTTAAAAAGGTCACATATACTGTATTATTAGACACAGATTGAAAAAAATCAATTATCGATGATTTATAGTTTTAGTGATTGTAACTTGTCCTACCTTGTAATCCCGAATCGGAAACCTTGACTCAGAAATACCGGGGTGGTGTCCGGCGGGGTATAGTTTTTTACCATATTGTAGTTTAGTGAATGTAGTTAAGCTCAACCTTATAATTCCTTGCCCTGAAAACTGGGCTCAGAATTACCGGGTTGGTGTCCGTGGGGGATAGTTTTCTGCCATAATATATGACTTATCTAAAGCACCTAGAAAGATCATGGTGCTATATAAATACGAATTTTTAAAATTATTATTACTTACTAATTTAAGGTTCTATGCAAAGAATATAGTTTGTTTTTTTTTATACATTTTTGAATTGGTGAGGTGAGAACAAATTTCTTCTAAATTTCAGTTGAAAGCTAAAATAACTTTGTATAATAATATATGGAGAAAAAATATGTTATCTTTCAATTTTTGATAGCGAATTGCAGTAATAATTCATAAAAATAATATTTTAATAATATAATAATAATATATAGTATAACATACTTTTCACCTTTAAACTTTCACCCAAGGAGGTGTTTCTCCACATCAGAGTTATTATCATCAGGCTTAATTGAAATATCTGCTTTTATGTTAGATTTGTTGTATATATTTCTGTTTTTTGGGGTTTTTTTTATTTTGTTTTGTTTTGTTTTTTTTGTTTTTTTTATGTTAGGGTTTTTTATTCCTAAAGCTCTTGCTTGCTTCGGATACCCTTTTCCATGTATCGTTGTGTATTATTGTATAATTATTTTACTCCTTGTAATGTTAAGAATTTTGATAAATGGAAATACAATTTTTTGAAATTGAAAATTATTTGAAATTGAATTGATGTTATTGCATGTTGTTTTTAGTATATATTTTTTTTAACTTAAAGAATACCTTCAATTAAATTGGCTGTTAGTCAGTTTAAGTTTTTCTTAATAAACAATCTGTACATCAGCTGAAACTGACTAAAAGGATATCTTTGTCAAATGCTTGTTCTTTTTGGATGTTTTATTATTTTTTTGAATTCTTTTCTCCCAGAATTTGTCACAGGTTGTTTTTAAAGTACTAAATACCTAAAATAATTTTAAACTGAGGTTTTTGTAAATGGCTGATTTATACAGTTTCTTTTTTAACATTTTTTTTCAGGAACCATTCCACTTATTATGCTTGGCAGAGATAAGACAGACCTGCAAGATTCATTCATTAAGCTAGATATTTTTAATGAGCTGTTGACAGTTCTTAACAATGCAGCAGTAAGTATTAGCATCACATTATTTAAAGCTTCCTACAGACATTTGTAAAACAGGTCTGAACATAGAGTACCATCCATGAGGATGAAATCACATCCACATCCGAATAAAAGTTTTAATACACAGTACTTCCTTGGTAATTTGATTTGGAAAAATCTATAGAGAAACTGTATTATGTGTCTTAATTTAGTATTATGTTGAACAAAACAAACATCCTATAATTGGTGATTGTCTCAGTCACAGATGTCAACATTTTTAAAAATTTTCAGTGGATGTAATATTGCTATTTAGCTTCCCCTTTTAAAAGCCTGGACACACCACTACTAAAGGAGTGCGACCTGAAATTTAACTATTGTCTAGTTCTAGAATACACCTGTCTGTTGTCTACATCTGGAATAGGCCTAGGAACAGTTTGTGTTATTGTTACCTTTGTAAAAAAAAACTACAAAATTAGGGCCTCATCCTCTTTCTTTTTTAAAAGTTTGGGATGAGAAACATGTCTTATTTATTGGCCTAAACTAACCACTAAATTTATGTTACATCAAAGAATCAATTAAACTTATTTATGCTTTAAATCAATTTAAATCCTTAATAACACTCACCACTAGTTCCTTGTTGTGTTGTGTCGTTAAATTGAGGAAAAATTTCCTTAAATTCTCAAGTTTCAGTTCTTTATTTACTTGGAAGTTATTACTTATTGAATCTTCCCTATGTTAGATCACTATGCTATATCTGAAAAATCAAGTAAGAACTCAAGTAATACATAGGTAATTGAAACACAGAATCCCTTATTAAAAGAAACCAAGAGTAGACTGTACTTCTTTCAGAATCTATTGAGTGTGGTTTTAAGAAGGTCATACAACTCTCGGTTAATTCAAGAAAAATTAAATTTAACTTAGCTAGATTATGTACATGTCTTGATAACTGGAATTTTGACAGCAATTCTACTCTTTCAATTCAATTTAACGTTTGTTTCCAGAATGCATCACAGTTAAAAACTGAATTACAAGAAATGGTTAATTCGCATATGAAAAATTACAAATATAAAAAATTTTGAAAAATTTTAGAAAAAAATAAATTCAACAAGAACAAGGAAAAAAGTTAAAAATGCAAGGAATAGAAATTTAATTAATAAATCAATTGATTAAAAATATAAAATAAGGAGAGAGAGGTTCAAAATAGTTTTAAAAAATGTGATTTACAGATTTGTATGTAAATCTTATATGACATTCTAAAGACAACTTTTTCTGGAACCCTTTTATATGTTGCGTGGATTTGGAAAATAAGATTTGGAAGGTTTCATAGTTAGCATTGAATAATTTCAGTGACTTCCCTGATAGCCATCTTTTGTTTTGATTAAGTCAATATAATAAGACAGAAGATAATCATTAGATAATTAAGCACCTCAGTGACTTTCATAATAATTACCCTTTGTCTTCATTAATTTAATATTAATAAAATAATGGATAATCATTAGATAATTAATAAATTACTTACTGTAACTTTCTTAATAATTAATTACTTATTTTTTGCCTCATTAATATTAACATTTATTGATTAATTAATATTAATAAGACAAAAGATAACCATTAGATTATTAAGTATCTCGGTGACTTTCTTAATAATCATCCTTTGTCTTAAGTTAATATTAATAAAACAAAGGATAATCATTAGATAATAAATTAATAAAACTGTGACTTCCTTGATAATTACTGTATCTTTTGCTTAATTAATATTAACTTAAATTAATGCTTTATATGGTTTTCCTAATAATATACTCTTGTCTTATTATTATAACTTCTTTAAAAATGCTCTAGCTGGCTTCCTTAAAATCTTTTCTTATTACTGTATTAATTTCACTAACTTCAAGATTGCTTTATCTTGTATGTCAAGTTTATATTTTTTGTTTAATTCTTCAGGAAAAGAACAGTAATAAATTGACAGTTGCGTATCTAACTGTCCGCACATTGGCATCTCTTTTTATGCAATCGACTGGTGCCAAAGACACTTTTAAAGAGACGGTTGGTTACGAACAACTAGGAGCTGTTCTCCAACGGTTAGGACAACCATCTAAAGAGCTACTTAATTCTTTGTTTAATATGGTATGCATTTATCTTCATTTATTTTACAAAGCTTATAAGCATCATGACTTTGGTTTATTGCCATCAAGTCTTCACAATGGCATACGTAGGTTGTGTGCAGGGTGGTGGGGGGGGGGAGCTCACGCCGCACCCCAACATCTACCCCCATTGAAAATGTCAGAAGCAGAAAAAAAAACCATGCTCAAGTAGTTAAAAATCAAACTTATTTTGTGACCTAGCTTCCCTCACTTAAACATGATAAATGTTAAAAGAGCAGCTTATCTCAGTAGGCTAAACTGGTGGTAGCTACCATACTGTATGTGCTTTGAACCGTGGACATCTTTGATCACCGGCTTAAGTCACTCCAATGCTCTCCTTGTATTTCAGCTGGAAAGTTAAAATGCAAATTAAATAACATACCATCTTCCCAATGAGACATTTAGGCTACGTTCAGACTTGGAGATAAGCCAGGCTTAAGTTAAGCCCGGCTCAACGTTAAGCCCGGCTTAACTTTGCTGGGCGTTCAGACTAGCGGGTTTAGCCAGACGAGAATTTGCATAATAATGAACCGTAATCAGGAAACAAAACATTGCTTGCGAAACGTACGCTCGCTCACAACGTGCATAATTGAATGCTGATTGGTCATTTCGTCACCCGAAGCCAATGCAAGACCCCCCGCAATGATTAAAGCCCGGCTTAGAAAAGTTAAACACGGTGGCGCTCCAGGCCTAGTTACTATAGGAACACAGCCCGACTTGAGATAAGCCACCTAGTTCAGATTGGCACGTGGATAAACCCGGTGAGTTGAGCCGGGTTTATCCATCTAGTCCGAACTAGGCCTTAAACCTGTAGTGCTGTTTGCAGTATGACCCATGTGCATTTTTAAGAATGTGGTAGAATCTTTGGAAAAGTGTTGGGAATGTCTGCCGATTTACTACTCAATTCAACAAGAAAGGGACCCCCATTGGAAATAAGTTAATGGAATTTAAGTGGGTTATCTTTGGTATATTTCATACCAAAAAACATCCAATACAAATGAAAATTAATTAAGATTTCTAACTTCAGCTTGTGGATGATGATTTTGTTGTCGAGAAGGATCAGATTATCCGAAACACCGGGCCTATATCCATAATGATCAGGTGGTTGCCAGAATTCAAGTCACATGACATACAGCTTGAGGTGTGTCGCAATTTATCCAAATGCTGCACTTGGTGCAATCACAACCGCTTACAGTGTTGTTCAAATCATATTATTGGATCTATATTAGATGCCTTAGAGAAACGTAAACACCTTGATCCAAAAGCAGAAGGTAAGATCTTAAATATTGAGGCCTGTTGCATAACATTGTTGAATTCTAATTGCCTGGGTCGGGTGATTCTATTATTTTAGATGTAAGTTGATAAAAGGAAAACTGGAATATACCGGTTCATCCAATTAAGTATCTCACTCATAGACCAACAACTTTAACACATTGGCTGCTCTGCATTTTCCCCAGTAATTGCCGATATGCCAAGGCATTGAGGTATTCCAGTGATGATTCTTTTTTTATTTACAGACAAGTTAATTCAACTGCTACAATCTCTTGGGTCATGTAGCATCACGTCTTCCGAATTGAAACGATTAATTGCTTTGATTCGGGGAGAAGATGACAAGCAACTCTCGCCAAAATGCATGCGCTTGATGCACAGTATGTCGGTGATGGCGAGGAAGGGAGGCAAGCTAGGGGCTCATCACTACTTTGACTTTGAAGATGGGCATGCAGTGAGTAGATGTTAAACTTTGACCTGTTCCTTGATCAAATAACATCTTGTGTGGCCAAGGGCCAAATCGCATATTATTTTTAATTATACTATAAGAAAACACATCTAATTCAGCATGATTTATTACTCTTGATTCTGCACACATTAATTATCAAATTAAAATAAAAGATTCTCTTTACAATGCTTGTGGAAATCCGTCACGGAACAAACAACCAACTCAATACATTATCACTTTTTCATTCTAATTCTTATATACATGACTTACCACAGTATTCACCTTTATGTACATGGCTTATCTTTATAGTATTTGTTTGTGTGTCATATATCTGACGATAGTATATAAACCGGAAGTAGCATAAGCACTATTGCCGGATGATGACACATGAAATGTCGAAACATGTCATTAATTAGTTTCATAAATTAAAAGTACCTGTATACATATAAATTTACCTTAAATACAATTAAACCATTTAAAATTTCAATAGAAAGCTTTGAATTATAACACACATAAAAAATATGACAAATAAAGAACAAGAAAATAAATAATTGAAATCCACAAGTGATGAATGATGAAAGATGTTGTTATTAAGGAATACAAAATATAATTTACAGAAAAGAAATATAATTTTTCCATTAAATTTTAAACTTCTTTGATGTAAGTGAATTAGGCCTTTGAATTATTTTTGAACCTTATATGTAAAAGAAGTATTTAATTATGTAATTTGGGATTTCCATTTACAAGCTATGCTCCAGGAATTTCCCATTTTCTTTGATCTTCAAAAATTATTTACATTTATATTTTTTGTAAATTTTCATGCTTAAAGGAAATAAATATTTTTGTCATTGTCATTGTCATTGTCAATTATGAAGAGAACACAAAATAGTACCAGCATATGCTGGGAGAGTAAAACAGACTGGCTGTGCAGGAGGAGTTGCTAACTCCCCACAGCCTTGCACAGTCTGGCCCAAACGGCATAAGAAGGAGAAATGGCACCTTGGCCTATGATCCCAGATTTGCCCTTCAGGTTTTGACCTTAGCCTTTACTTTTGTTTCATTGCAGGGTATAACAGTATCTGCAATCCACAAATGGCCAGGACATGCATTCTCATTCCACACTTGGCTGTGTCTAGACCAAAGCCTATCAGCAGATGAACCAAAAATGGTGCAAATATATCGTAGACAGTTATACAGGTAAGAACTGGCCCTGGATTTATCAATCTCAGCTTAGCAAATGTCTTGAGTCAAAAACGTTAAGATTTCCCAAAGCAAATATCTTAAGCTGATTTATTAAACCATCTTAGTAAAATTTTAAATTAAAAATCATCACAGATGGCGCATGCATACAATCGGCTTTTGAATTTTAAGCAATTTTTAAGTTAAGCAATAATGATAAATCTGACTTGAGCAGAAAAATAGGCTTAAGACGAATTTAAGCTGATTTCTAGTTTGATAAGTCCAGCCCCTGATACGTTGTCCCTACAAGTCATTTTAACATCATCAATATTGTAATAAATCTGTATACATAGATTCTAGGCATGTGATTGGTTAAGAAGTGGGCAATAGAAAGTGCTATAACCTAATTTCTAGGCTGTGTTTCTATGTAATTTATTACATGCACGAACAGTAAAGGAGTCGTGACCTCTACAGTAGTGAGAGAGAATGACCCTTTGAATGTCTATGCTTAGGAAGTAAGCATAGGCCTTCAGTACTTGGTGTGTACTATTTTCATTAATTAAAGTGACATTAACTATTTTTGAATCAGTATCTCATGGACAGTTCACATTTTTTTAAACGCAGCACTTGGCGGTTCCGAGAATCAAGATCATTTGACATTGTTATTATTATTACTATTTTGTCGTTTTTCTCGTTGGTGGTATGTTTATCAATATTATTTTTCCTTACAGTTTTTATACGTCAAGTGGAATGGGATTTGAAGCATTTTTTAATGTGGATGGCATTCTGACCGTTGCTATATGTACTCGCAGGGAATATTACGCGAAGGATATTGTTGAGTGCACCCTTACTGACAACCAATGGGTACGTCACCTCCAAGACTCAGTACAGTATTTAATTTTTTAATGGAAACTGGCGTAAAGAATTGGAGTGAGCCAGCAAATGATGGATGAAAAGATTGTTTGTATTGTGTGGAGGAATATTTATGTGGGGATTTTGTTTTGTGGAAGATGAGTATTTTTGTGTGGGAGTGTTATCATTCAGTAGTGGATGCAGGAGGTAGCAAAAATTGTGCTCGCCCCACGGCAAAGGGAAAAAAATCTTGTAACCAAGTTTGAAATTACCTAGATAGGAGATTAAATTGTCTGAAACTATTTCCGGGGAATATCCTTCACAATAAGTAAGTAAACTCTCCTAACTTTCCTCTTGACCCATAGGTCCTTTCCATTCCTCCTTGGATTATAGATTCTCAGTTGCCATTTCACTCCTTACTTCCGGCAAAAATATCCTGGATCTTCCACTGTTGTGTTATAGGTAACATGCTTGTTGGGAGTGGTACAGTTTTTCTTTGTGGTAGATATTTTGATAATCATTTTGGCCTATTGATTAAATATTTAATTGATTTTTTTTTCAGCATTCTCTTGACATTGTCCACGCTGCATCCAGAAGACCATTTGTTCAAAGTCAGCTGTCCGTTTACATCGATGGTTTGTTGAGACACACATCACAACTAAAATTTCCCGCCCTTAATGAGGTCAGTTTTATTCTTTATATTAAAACTTTTTTTCATTCTCATCCAATGATAAGTATACTTGCAAATTAAATTGTGGGAATAAATGCAGTTTGCATGCTACATATCAAGTCTTTATGACCTGAATATCTTCTAAAATTCAGTGGTAACATAAATTTACTAGCAGGGGAATGAACTAGTATGACAGGGTACTGGAATCAAGAGTAAAACACTTGGAAGAATAAAGGAGAAGAGTTATTGTTTAGGATAGTAACAATTATGCTTTTAGACCGCAATATCTGTGATTGGATCGCCAAATTGATTTTGGTTTTCATGCAACTTTATGTGGCACCAACAACAACACGCTTGTCTAATGGATAATTTGCCAGTGACCCTTCGAGTTACCTAACAATTTATGAATTATGTTGATTTCTCATTGCAGCCCTTTACAAAGTGTACTATTGGTCCTAACACCTATCAACCTTCCACCACTGTCCAGACAGTTGAAGGAAAGCCATCAAATTCGCTTAAACAAATAGGGAAAAAAATTACAAATCGTTTACCTCGACGCGAATCAAATCCAATAGACCCATCAACAATGACAATTCCAGTGGGAGCGCAAGAAGATATAATGGGTGAATCCGTCAGCTTACATGGACTCATGGGCAGTGTCTGTATCTTTCATGATGCCCTTCATCCAAAGGAGATTAAAAAGTTGTATGCAGATGGTAAGAATTTATAAAATTATTATTAAAAATATATATATTTTTTTTTAATTTTCCAAAAAGAGATACTCTATAAACCAGGGGTGAACATAAAAATGGGTTGGAATTTTTAATTTATCATCTAGGTCCGACCCAAACTTTATGAAGGTTCCAAGTTGGAAGAAGCCACTTGCAAGATCAGCTTTAAAAAAAGGAAAATATTTAATACATTTAATTTTATTTTACTACATGTGCTGATCCTCTCGCAAGCTGACTTTCGTGAGACAATTGATAATACTGTAGTATAAACATGCATATATAAATTTGTGTGAGATGGGTTAGCTTCCAGGAGATGTTTGCTTGCCTATGCCAGTGTGGGAGGCCAACCAGTTTTCCAGGAGGCCTCCACATCTTGCAGGAGACTTGGGACTTTTGGCTTTTTGAAATATTGACCTCACAGCATTCTATTTACGGTCAGACTACATTATCTGTGTGATATTCTAAACAGGTCCAAATAATGTGACATTGTTTCAACGCGAGGACAATGATTTGTCAGAATTGCCGGGCAAGATGCTGCTGTACTATGATGCAAAAGCTTGCAGAAATGGAATCTGTTCAGACTTGGCACCAAACCATCTGTATCAAGGCCGGTTGAATGGTCACTGCTGCGCCACTTGGGATCTGAAGGTAAGTAGGTAATATATCTGTAGTTAGTATTTGAGCAGCTTAGCTCAGTCAGCTAAAGTGGTGGTAGCCAATAGGTATGAGCTGAACTGTGGAGATCTTTTGTCCCTGGTTCAATTCCTCCCGCTGTTTTCCGTGTCCAGCTGCAGGACTGAAATACATGTTAAGATAGCGCATCGTCTTTCAGCTGAGACGTTTAAGCTGTTGGTTCTGTGTGCAATATGGCCTATTGTGTGCAGTACACTTTTTAGAAAAGCATTGTTGCTTTAGCATCTCTCTGATTCTGCTCCTTTTCAGGAAGTGATCAACTGTATCGGTGGCATTGAAGTCTTGTTCCCGATTTTGGAGCTGACAACATCAGAAGACAACAGTTTACTTGAACCAATGACACCTCTTACTCCTGAAAGACTGATAAGTGCTGATGGTTGGGAGGTAATTCCATCCAGTAGTGAATCAGGTACAAAGAATATCTTTTACAGTTCTCAATCTAAAGTTGGGCACTTCCTGCACCCAATGGCCGTTAGCCTATGAGATTCTATTTGACAACGAAGCGCCACGACTGCACACGATGGATAGTTTTTGATGACGATCGCATCCACATGGAACGGAGTTAGATTTGTTCAATGTAGTGAGTGCCCGGCTTAAATGAAAGACCATTTCTGTCACCGGGGATTCCATGTTTTTTAGTACATTTGGTCACTAATTATAATAATAACTCATTATAAAAAAGGTTCTTAAGTTGGGGGCTGTAGAAATGTTGTCCTTAATTGGATGTGGACTTTAATTGGATGGAGACCTGTATTCTTTCACTTTAATAAATGATACAAAATTGTATTAATAACAAAAATAATAATGATAATAGTGCATTTCTTTTTTATTTTCTTTACAAAAATAAATGATTTATAAATATCTGTACCTGTAAATCCTTACTAGCATGATAGACATAGTCTAAATATAATGCAATGAATCATGTTGATGTTGGTAATGTAATTTAAATCAAATGAATTCTGTATAAATTTATGTTGATATATAGGAAAGACATAAACAGATAAAATAAACAAACAGTTAGGACATACATATTAAATTTTTTGTAATTTATTAAGTTCTTTTTATTTTTTGGCAGATGCTGCTTTGGAACAGAATCAGGTGGCTTGCTTTTTAACTCTTATCAAGAACATTTGCTTCAGTCATCCCATTAACCAAGAACTGCTCCACAAATGTCAGGGCATCCCAACAATAGGGATGCTTCTACAAAAGGTAAAGTAATAAGGATGTTCATGACCATTGCGACGATAGCAAAGATAACAATGATAATGGTAGTGATGGATGGATGGATGGATGGAAGGATAGATTTGCACCTGGTTTGAGTGATGGTAATGGTGGCGATAATGTAAAGGTGGTGATGATAATCAATTGTTTTTTTCAAAAAATTTTCTTTCAAAATTTAATCCTAAATTGTGACACTCACTATTTTGTAATCGTAGCTCTGCCCCTAGTGACAATATAAGGTAAGGTGGGAATGGTGGCAGGAGTGGTGGCGGAGGAATAGGTGGTAGTGACATGTGGGAGGACAATGCTAATGGGGATAATGATTATAATAATAATTCTGCATTTATCTCCTATTCAGAGCCTTGCCTTTATGTGTTTTAAAGTACGGGATAACATCAACTATAATTACTTTATTAATACAATATGCCTATATACAGTTTTTTTTTAAATTATATTGAATTTTATATATTATAACATTAATAAATAAACTTTTCAATTGCTAATTGTATATATATATTTAATTAATTTATTAATAATTTATTTTTTATTAGATAGTTGTATGATTATTTATATTTCAATAATTAATAATCTAATTTGTTTTTTTCAATCAAATCATGTATACAGATTTTAATTTTAGAATCCATTCAACTAGTATGATTACTGAATAGAAAAGTCAGATTGGTGTTTATTAATGTGGTGTTTGTTGTTTTGTTTTATATTTATGTTAGTTTTGTTTATATTGTAAACTCAAAAGTATTTTAACATTTGTTGCATTTTAAGTTTTGTATATCAAATAAATACCAAATAAATATAAATAAACATAGTAATATTGCAAGGTATCTAAAACGATGTTATTTACTGTAGGCTTTCAGATCAAACTTTGCAAAAATCACTGTTTTCGACTTTTTCTGCTTAATATCCATTGTGTTTTTATTGCCAGAGTTTCTGAGTATTTACCATGACTGATAATTTTTTTCTGCTAACATATCTAGATTGATTTTATTTTATTGTAATTACAGCTGGATGCACATCTTATTGATGTACATGTGCTTATGGCTGTACAGACATTCCTGGAGTCTGTTGTTGGTAACACAGTTTTGACCAAAAATACCTACCAGTATCTTCTGTTTGACTTCAGAATATGGAGTAAAAGTGACTTCACAGTCAGGATTGGTGAGTCAAAATCTTGTAATAGTATCTTTGGGTGTTCGTTGGTACTGTGATATCTTATCATGTTAACTGTTTTCATTGAATTAACTTGATTTTAGATTTTATTGGTGTTGTTTCTGCTAGTTGAATTTTATGCTGGGATTCTGGTTTAAACCGACTGATTTTTGGAAACCTATTTTTCCAATTAAGTTCACTTATGGAGAATCATTTAACAGCTTGTTTTTTTTTCAGCTCATATCCAGTACTTGGCCACAGTGATTAAAGATCATCAGAAATACTTCCATCAAAAATTTGGTGTCACTTTCATATTAGATGTCATCAGAACGTACTACAGGTGTGTATCTCATTATCTTGTCATAAAAATTTTATATGCAAATTGTAGTTTTATTCAAATTGTAGAAACATTGTAATAACTGTGAAAATAATGAATTATTTATCCAGGTCAAAATTGTTAGCTTTCTGTATCAGATAAAAGCTTTTAATCATAAGAATATCATGAAAGTAATAATCATAGCCACACTATAGTAGTTGATATTAAAATTGGAAAAAAAGTTTTCAGAAAACAGTAATTTAAAACACCACATTCAGTTGATATACTGTATTTTGGCATAAGCGTTTTTGTCCCATTTCTGAAATCTTAAAATGCATAACAATTTATTAAAAATACATTTAACATACTTATTTCCACTGAGGCCTTTAAATTATACAGACTTGGCATTAGGATAGATCACCATGGTGATCTATCCTAATAAGCCCCGCCCCATGGATGTTGTTGCTAAGGTCTGACCAAATGTCAGTGCCTGTCTCTGTTCTGATTGGTCAGTTGTACGTTTTTATTAACTCTCCAATGCTGACTTCAAACATGTGATTCTAGTTCTATATAATGCTATCTAATTGACTATTTAATTGTGACTTGCAGTGACTTTGGTCCAGAAGAAATTTCGAGAGAAGATTCAAAGACTATACGAGCTGCCCTCTTCGGTGTGATAAGGTATTATTTGTCAAAAAGCATTTCTAAAGATGAAGTGAAGTCAATTTTAGCTTTTACTGCTACAGCTCCCTCTGAAAAACTGGTGAGCAACATTTTTTTTTTAATTGTTAGTAATAATATTAATATTATAAGTATAATATTAGGCTAAAAAATTGTTAATAAAAAAATTAATTAAAAATTAAAAAAATAAGCATTATACTTATATTGTATTATAAATGTGCTATTTTTAAAATGTGAGGTTATAGTATGATGGCAATTGAAATATAATGAATAAAAGTGGGATGACCCCACGAAAGATAAAGAATAAAAAATTAAAAAAATAATTAAAAAAGATAATAATAATTTTTAAAAAATAATAAAAATAATAAAAAATTATTAGTAATAATATTATTATTATAAATATATTAGGCTAAAAAATTATAAGTAGTAATAAAAAAATGAATAAAAGATAAAAAAATAATTAAAAAAATAAATAAATAAAAATAGAAAATAATAAAAAATTATTAGTAATAATATTAATATTATAAGTATAATATTAGGCTCAAAAAAAGAACAAGCATTCTGTGACAACACAGGATTCCTTCTCAAAAACACAATCTCCACTCCCTAAAGTCGCACTGCACCCTACGGTCGTCGGCCGACGTAATTCTATATAAAACGCAATGCCACAACACATGCACAACAGATCGTTTTTGATGACGATCTGTTCAGACTGCCACTGACAATCATCAGACAGCATTGTGTCATCCAGCGCTCGCGGACAGCGGATTTGGATTCGTCTGCCGACGGTCGTACTGCGCAGTGAGTTCCAGGCTTAAGCCTTCATTTCAAAACTCTAGCAAAAAGCAGTTTCTGAAAATGCAAACTACCACAAGAGAGGTAATCTGACCACAGAGCTTATGAGAAGAAGTGGCTGTCTTTTTACTGTGCAATTATGTTAAAATAGTATGTTAAAAAAATATAAATTCATCAATTTTCTGTAAGTCCTTAGTTTTCAAATAGTAGTTTGTGTATGTCAGTTTATTATAAAAAGATAATAAATGTTCGCTTCGAATTTTTATTTAATTTTTCAGAAAAAAGAAGCGATTGATATGCTGTGTACATTGCTTGATAGTTCAGCTGGAGACCAGCTGATGTTGTTGTTGTTTGAGGAAGGTATTGGGGAGATCTTGTATGCACTACTTATTGACAAGAACCATTCAGACTCACTCAGGGTTAAAACTTTTAAGGTAATTTAAACTATCAATGAAGAGTATAGAAAAGGAAAAGCACACATTAACCTTTTCAATGCAATGTTGTAAAGTTAAAATTTCTATTTATTTTGTTGTCAAGATATTGGCTAACTTATTGAAGACTTCAAAAGTATACGAGAAGACCAAAACGAGAATACGACTGAATGATGTTGGATACTCAGGGATGATAATGTTGATGGAGTCACTTCCAATGTCAATGCCTATTACCAAGAACCTTGTGGAACAAGTTACAGGTTAGTTAAAAGTCACAAATCTGTTTGACAATACAACTACTCTGACAATAGGACCTTGGTTATCAGATGTACTTTAAACAAAGATATATTAAAGAAAGACGAGCATCCAAAATAATATATAGTTCAAAGTTAACTTTGACAAAAAAGGACTATCTTGGTAGTATCTCTACACTACCATCACATATTCTAATACAGCCTAGAAAGATGTCTAATCAATGTGAGAAGAAGTAACCCAAGGAAAACACAAGATTACTGGATTTCATGTCAATTCCATGCTCCAGAGGGTGCTGCTCTATTGTTATTACTATTCAGACTAAGCATTCTACAGAAAATAAATGTGACATAGTGCCATCTTTCTTGATTCCTAATTTGTAGTACTGTACTCTAGTAATTATTTGGAAGATGTGCAGTAATATGTTCATGTAGTGATTGTATTATTTAATCACTATTTTAAAAATTTAATTTACAATTTGTTTTAAAGATGAGAAGCTTACATGTGCTTCACCAAACTTCAATGGCCTACTTGCTGTTCTGCTTTTGGTGCAGAGAGGGGATGTCCTGATGAAATTAGAGGCCACCACACAACTCCTTCACATGCTGTATACAAACAAGTCATGTCACTCAGAGATTGCTACAGAAACAGGTTGGCAAGATACCATCACAAAACTGTTCATTAAATCTGGTCAAGTTGAGATTAATTGTGAAGACAGTGATGATGTTGATCTACTAGATTTCACCAGCAATGTTGAGGAAACAACGTCAGACACTAGGTCCCGCATTTCCATCGCCAGTGACAGTATAAGTCTGGAGAAGGCCTCAATCCAGAGTCGTGAACCGCTGGACTTAGGGTTAAACAGTAACATTTCTAGTGCTCATACCTCTGTTCGTGAGCTCTCAGAAATATCTTCAACTTCAAGTGATAACATTTTCAGCCAGATTGGAAACCGGTTGGCACTGCCTAAAACTGAACCTGACCAGTTTGGTTCAGAATATGTTGAAGTTGGTTCACGTAGTTGCAGCATCCAGAGTGACGATGCGCTGCTTGACACAAGATTAGTTGGCAGGAGGTTGATTAGACCAGAATTAACTTTATCATTAATGAGTGAGGAAGAAGATGAAGAAGATGATTCTGAAGATGATTCGGAGGTGGATAAAACAGCTGAGGTTTTAGCAGATACTATAACAGAAATTTTATTCCATGTTCTGTGGCATGGACTTCAAGGCTCCCCAGAGGAGGTTTGGTGTGTAAGTAAATGGAGTATATTTTCTTATTTTTCTAATTAATTGGTTTGATATAGTTTATTCATTTCTATATTCTCTTTTCAATTTATTTATATTGAAGTTAGTAGAGGAGGTTTGGCACAGTGAAAATGATTTCTTTTCCCAACCTCAGGGTCAGGATTTCAATCCTTCACTGTGCATTTCGCTGTCTGTGAGCAAGGCAATTTATCTTCATTGCTTCACTCTACCCAGCTGTATCAATGGGTACCAGCAAATTGTTGGGAGTAACTTGTGTTGGACTAGCGTACCACCCAGGGGGCAGTAGTCTCATGCTACTTGAAACTGAAGCCCTATAGGCCCTAGTGGCTCAGCAAGGATTTACTTAAACGTTAACTAATGGCATCATACTCTAATTTACTTATATTTAAGATGTACAGTATTTTTAAGATTTGACATTCACAATGGATTGAAGGAACATTTTATAAATAAATTATGCATGCGAATTTGGAAATTTTCCAAAATTGGCAAAGCTATTGAGATGCATGATGGGAAATAAGGTTTAACTTCATGTTTAGTAAAATCTTTTGCAAATTTCTATTGTTTTTTAATGTTGTTCTGTATAATTTTTTTGGTCAATCCCTTCCAGCAACGTGGCCAGGTGTTTGTATGTATAAACCAATTGATGGACAAGTTTGGACTAATTCGTCCTGGTATAGTAATTAAGCGAAATCTTATAGAGAAAATGTTAGAGGGTGCTATTAATAACGCCAAGACTGGAAGCAGAGACAGTGCAATTGATTTGGAGAATGAGATACGACTTCTGAAACTTGTGCAAGATTTTTTGTTTGGTGATGATGGACAAAACCCAAATGCATGGAGTGAAAAGGTAAGCCTGATGAATCACATGGCACTCTTATGTTTTTACATTTTCTTCTGTCCGTTTTCATTGGAAATTTTAGACATAATATCTTGATTGAGAGAACACAATCAAAAGTTCCATTAACAATATTATTTATTAAGTCTATTTTGTGAATACTTACTTAGATCCATTCCTGATGATGACATAATTAATGTCAACATATTGAATCCCGACATGATGGCATGCATTTCGATACTTGGAGTATGTATTATACTACCTTATCTGAGATTACTTGGATAAATGACTAATTACAACTGTTCCTTTAAGAACACCCCTATAACAAAAATAGAATTGTCCAATTGTCTTAGCACATGACTCATTTGATGATGATTTGTGTAATTTACTGTTTTGTTGAGCTAAGTCCTTTATTCATTTATTTTAGATATAAAATCTATATACATAAATAAATTATAACTATATAATATAATACATAATTATAGCTTGCAGTAAGTTTATATCAAATTGTGCTTGGTTTATTACTAATTAAACAATCCTACAATAATTACTGCTGTGTGTAAATATAATGAAGACAAGAATGATCTGAACAACCTTCTAGCAGTAGCCTACTTCAATAATAATGAAACTAATAAACTTGGAAAGATAAATACTTAATATTTGCTTAATTTATATATTTATTAGTAAGTTATTACTAGCTTTTAGTTGAAATTTAGAATAATACATTATTTAAGTTCTAAACAGCTGCAAAAAATAAAAGTAGTCCTATAGTCAGGGAGTAGCACATCTCTAAGATGACCTGGCTTGCCTTTATTCTTCTATGTTTGTGAATTTTGTAATGTTTTTATATTAATTGGCATTTGCCAGAATGAATAAAATAAAATAGAGCATAGAATTATCTGATAATTTATGGATGTTCATGATTTAATCAGTGAAAATTAAATTATTTTAATTTTACTCTTAAAATAAAGTTTGTCTGTAAATAAAGTAATTCAGTTTTTTAATTGATTATTTACAAGTTTTTTTTTTGATTTTATAACAGTATATCTTAAACACAATAGATTTTTAAAATGTTATGAAAATTAAAATATATGAATACTTTTCTCTTTAGCTGATTGAAGGTACCATAGACCTTGTGGACAGCCTTGGTATCTGGGAAAGGAACGTGGAAGTTGATGGCTGGACGGAGGTGTCACAGATCAGTCTCCGCATCCTTATGAGCTTCGTGGATAAAGATGACATGGATGTAAGATACATACATTAAGTCTGACTTACATATTCTCTAAGTGGAGTGTGAGCTTAGTGGTTAAGATGCTTTCCTTGAGGAATCCATGAGAAATGTTTTTTATGCTTTAAATGATGTATCTGACCTTAAGGTTAATATTTAAAAAACAAGTGCTATTTGGTTTGGGTCATTACGCAACTTGAAAAACAAAATTTGTAGAGATTTAAAAGTTAATTGGATCTACCCAAATGAATCAGTTAGAATTCTTGGCATTGAATTTGACCCGCGTTTAAATATGATTGAAATTAATTACAGTAAAGCGATTTTCTCGATGAAGAATTTGCTGTCCAATTGGAATAGGAGAAATATTTTAGTTATTGGAAAATGCAGCTGTAAATGAAAATTATAGCTCATAGGAAAGTCAATGGAAAGGTTTCATACTTTATTGTAAGTTGATATTATCGTTTCCAATGTTTTTGTTCTACCTCCTTGTCATATATTATTAATTTTATTTTCATTTTCTTCAAAATGTTCACTATATGTACATGCACTGATTTCTGAATGAAAAAAAAATCGAAAAGAAAAAAAAAATGTGCTTGCCTTCTAATCCTTGGGTTCTGCACTCAATTTTTGTCACAGCAGGACTTTTTCTCATAACTAAAAACAGCTCCACTCCCTAAGACTCATAGGTATCTTGGTTTATAAAGCATTGTCCATCCTGAAATTAGCAAGTTATTTGCTGTTTGGTGCAAATGTAATAAAAAAGTTACCATGCTTTTAGATTGACCATGTCAGGCCAAGTTCTAATTCACTGTAGCTCTAGTAGCCATTACTTAGGCCTTGCAAAACTTAAATAAACTTGGCGGGTTTCACTGTAATCATTAGTAATCTGAACTATGTTATTCTTAAATCACAACAGCTTTATGTTTTTTAAAAAATATTTCATTCAATTTTTAAGATGTGTGCCATAGCAGCAGCCAAGCTGCACCATCTGCTGCAGACTCGTCCAATACCATCGACGTTTGAAGTCTGCTTCATCCTCGGCTCAATGCACTCTGCTCTCATGAACTCACTAAAAGGTAAAGCTGTACTCATTCGTTCAACTGGAATTCCATATGTATTTGAGATTCAATAGTAATATAGTTATGTAGTGCATCAGACGAGTGCCTCCGTTTGATCTATATAATTATCCCAGTCATTGGAATCAAACACCAGCCTAGGGAACACATATTCATCTCCTTGTTGAAATATTAGTCATCTTTAAATTCGAACCACTCACCGTTAAAAAGGCCTACACTTTACCAATGTGGCGTAATGCTTCCATAATTGCCTGTGTGACATTATTATCTTCATGAAATTTCTATTCCATCTTTCTGCCTCTCAGTGCTAAATACTAATTTGATTATTTATAAAACACTCTTCATGGTTAGTCCCACAGCACTACGAGAGAAATGAAAAGAAAGATTCTCTCTTTTTCTGTCTGTTTCCCATTTTCTTTTGTTGTATTAGTCCCATTTTTACAGGGTATGTGAATTTAAAGAATTGAAGGAGTATTAATGTCATCAAATTATTCTTGTATGCATTGTAATAATTTAAACAATTATAATAATCATAAACAAAAGTGCATAATGCACCATCAAAGCATACTTGAAACTAAATTTGATGTTACTTGACTTTACAGCGACTGAAATCAAGACTTATGCATACATCGTGCCACTCATCCGAGCCATGATTGAGATTTACTATCAGCAGCTGAAAATGTCCTCCTTTCTACCAAACTTACCAACTACTGACACAAGTGCATCATACTTTGAAGACTTCCAACAGTATTGTTTATCAGAAGAATGGAAATTATACATAGAGAAACAGGTTAGGGTTGAATTGGTATATTTTTTTCTTGTAAAATAATAAAATCACTCATCTTAGCATGCCATTACAATTCATGATAAAAAGTGACTATATACTATTGGATGATTACATGTATTCCTGGGCTGGACAGTTATTTTGTAGGAAAGTTCCTAAAAAGAACCTGGCATCTAGTTTCATCAAGGTAAGTATCTGATTCATAGACTAAAACATCACTTTTGATAAGAGCTCTTTATGTAAACTATTGCTTTGCCCTGAACTGTATCTTTACAGCATTACAATTTATAGATCTGTATTAAATACTTTAATTATATGTTTTTTATATTGTTTTTTTTTTAATTCAATTTTATAGTCATACGTTCATCAGTATTTTTGGTACAGTATATATTCTATATGTTTTGTATTTTAACCTTACAGTTAATTGTTTGCGGCCTAGTATTTCCAATTTGGAAAATAAATGAAATCTAGAATCTTGAAGAAATTTAATATTGAATTTTTATTTGACTTTATAGACTTTAATATATTCTATTTTCTTCTTTCTCAGGTGACACCATACATGGAAGAATATTGTACACTTAACTTCAGCTCAGCCACTGCATACATGTCCAAATTTTGGAAGAAGTGTTTTGATGAGTTGAACATGTCTATTCACAAACGAGACCGTGCAAAGGGTGAAAGTAAACTCCTGTTCCAGGTAAACTTAAACTAGCTTATAGTTAAGTAAAAAAGAATAACAATAGGAAGTTTTCACAACCTTAAGAAAGCAATAACAAATACAAATACATCATTATTGTTAGTCATGCCTAAAACATTTTTAAATGCTTCAATTAATCACCCAATCAATCAATCGATCAGGTACCAGATCAATCAATTGATCATTAGCCAATCATTCATAAGCTTTTTCATTGAAATAAAAAAGAAAATTTAGAATATGTACACACTAGGACGTTATGTTGCTTAAGCTATTCCAAGCATGGTGGCGTTCTTGTATGAGCTTTTGGCCATTTTGTCAACTTATTAGAAACAAATACAGCAAAGTTTGTACTCTAGTTTTATTATATACATCAGTCCAAAATCTACTACAATCGACGTTGGTGGTGCTATGACATTATTTCCAAGTGGCTTTCTGTTTTTATTGATATTATTGATGATGTTTTTCAGTAACAATTATTAATATTATAATGGTGCCTTATTTATTTTTATTTGTAATCTCTGGTCAAATATTATCCATTGTTTATTACTATAGAAACATATTTTACAACCATTTGAAGAATTACGAAGGAAGGACTTTAGTCGGTATACAAGTTTCTTAAACAAGCAACGAAACCAGCAGATGTCAGTTTTGAAGCAGTGGCGAGCAAGTAAGAGGTTCCTTGTTGGAGAGCGCGGTACTTGGGCTGAAAGGTAAATTGAAAAATATATGTAAGTGGAATTTAAGTGGTGAGGTTCTGGTCTGGCCTCCTGAGCCAAGAATCATTGCCAACCAGTGGTTGCTCTAGTGATGGGGAGAGAGGAGGCATGACAGTCCTGATAGGAGAAAATCCAATTTTTAACAGATATGAGACTCTGCATTTCTCAAATTGTCTGAGATTCTGCTGGCTTTGTTCCATGGATCCATCCGAAGGGCTGAGGGGTCCCCCTGTGTTTGCCCACAGATATTCCCACCAGGGACATCAACTTCCTCATTGCACCTGGGCAGTGAACCATCTAATATTTTATGTGGTTCATAAAGTTTGTTAGAATTAACAAATAGATATATTTATTCTTGTACAGGAACCCAGAGGAACTACACTGGAAATTGTCAAGCCAAGAAAATTACTCACGAATAAGAAATAAACTAACTCAGAATTATGCATTTGATCAACATAAGGAAGCCAGCCAAATGAGAGATGAAGGTAACACTTGTCATCTGTAAAAGAAAATCCTCTATGATCTTCAAATTGTATCCAGATCTACACCATCAATACCATCAATGGTTTTTTTTTATACATTCCATTCTGCTGAAGCATATTATACCATATATACATTTATTTCCACTAAGAAGCTGTATAAGCAGAGTGAATGGATAAAATCAAATGTAACGGACTGTGCATAGTCTATTTTGTGAACGCTTACCTGGATAAACCAATCGAAGGAAAAACAATCTTCCGTCAACTGACCACACCTTTCAAACCCTAATATGTTTCCTTGTTTTGTGCAAGAGTTTTCTTCTTAGGTCTTCCCTTTTTGCCTGGTGAACTATAGTTATCTTTTCTGTAAGATGAACAATTTGTCCATATTTTTCTAGGCCCACTTCCGGAGCAAGATGATACCTTCAAATTAGCCGCTCTGAAGAATGCCATTGTGACAGATATTGATCTACAAGATGATCACTTGGGCGATGAGGAATGGATTGGTATCAATCCAGAAAAGTAATTTTTTTTTTTTTTTTTGTTATCTTTTGGTTTTTTTTACAGGATAGAATGATGCTCTGTAAAAAAATATATATATTTTATGATACTTAGTCATCAATTTACTTGGGACAGGTGGTTAACACTCTGTGTAGACTATGAAAGAGAAAAATTATAACATAAATATCAATTTTCATTTTGTTGTGTATTCCTTCAGGGGGAAGGAGTGGGGTCATAAGACAGATTTCAGAGGTAAATGAAAGGTTGGTGAATATCCCTTAACTGGCACCATAGTTGTGCTGAATTTCTTACAGCATTGGTCTATCAGTACTCTAGTAGCTTATGTTTTGGAAAATCTTGAAAACGTTAAAAATATAGATGCTTCTAAGGGAGTGAAACTGTTTTTAGATATGTGTTTCTCTTGATTTGAATTTATACCCATAGCTATGGAAGGCAAGCATCTTAAACACCAAAGTACTGCTTCCCTATAATTTGAAGCAACAGGGTGCTATTTGAGCTGTTATTGAAACTACTTCAATTTCGTTTTTGTTTACGTTAGTGCTGAAGAGCAGGGACCAAGTGCTAAGGAGAAGGTAGTAGTAAAGTCTGTAGACTGTTCACTAATCACTTTAATGGAAGTAGTCAATGGTAAGCTAGAAGTGAACACAAACCATGTCATCTTCTATGATACTTCGCCTGATAAGGTTGAAGGTAAGACACTTCTCTTTCATTGTTATAGTTCTATTTGTTTCTGATTATTCATGAAAATTCATATCATTTCTCCAGACAATTTTTCTTTAAAACATGCTAGTTTCTTGAATTTTACTTAAATTAAAGATTATGTTATAATGACATTTTTATTTAGTATTTTTTGGGGTCTTTTTTTGTGAATACTCATCTTAACCAATAAATATGCCAGCTTCCTTTTTGGCACTGACCTCAAAAACAATGGAGTCATCCAACCCAGGCAGGCAAAACTCTCTCATTGGTGAGTTTGGCTGTTCCAAGAGATGCACACTTCTTTTTTCAATCCCACAATTTTATTTTAAAAAATTGATATTATATATTTTTAATAACTTTGTTTATTGATTGATACATCAATTTTTTTTATTTGAATGTTTCATCATTTCATGATAATTGCTTATACTGTATTTCAGGAGGTGGCCAAGATTTTAAATGGGCAATATCTCAGCTTCGAGAAATACACTTAAGGCGTTTTAACCTGAGAAGGAGTGCTATTGAAATTTTCTTCATTGACCAAACTAATTATTTCATTAATTTCAAAGATAAGAAGGTACGTATTGTATGCAGTAGTTGCTTAAACATTTTTTCTTGTCTTAAGTACTGTTAAACAAATGTCATCAGTATGTTTTGCTATCCTTTTCCATTCTAGTCAGTAACATCTTCTATATTTTTACTGCAGGTAAGAAACAATGTGTACAGTTGTATACTTGGTCTGCGTCCTCCAAATATTAGCTACTATGGTGTGAAATCTCCAAGCGATCTGCTGAAAGCGTCAAACCTGACTCAGAAATGGCAACTACGAGAGATTTCCAACTTTGATTACCTGATGCAGCTTAATACCATTGCAGGACGGACTTACAATGACCTCAGCCAATACCATGTCGTAAGTATTATGGGAATGTTTCAGTTTAGTATTTATGATTTTCAATGCTATGGGTGTAATTCATATGTCATTTGCCAGTCCAAGTGCAGTGGAGGATATAGAGCAGCTTAACTCAGTCGGCTAAACTGGTGGTAGACACTGTGTGTGCACTGAAACGTGGAGCTCCTTTGGTCCCTGGTTCAATTGCATTTGCTGTTATCCTTGTGTTTCAGCCGCAGGGATGAAAATACAAGTTATATAGCGCACTGTCTTTTGGATGAGATGTTTAAGCACTTGGTCCTGTGTGCAATGAAGCCCGTGTTTGTTTTAAGAATACGGGCATTAGTCTAATAAGATAATCTACGTGAATACTCCGAGTTTCACTGCCATTTAATTTCTGTGACTTGAGTATATACATAATTGAAATATAGATTAGATTTAACATTTAATTTGCATACAGTATTTTAATTTCCATGTTCTTGTGCATATTTATTTTTCATTGCTTTTATGTTGTTTTTTAGTTTCCTTGGGTACTTGCTGATTATACCAGTGAAACATTAGATCTTTCTAATCCAAAAGTCTTTCGTGATCTGTCTAAGCCCATCGGCGTGGTCAATCCAAAGAATATCCCCGACGTTGAGGATAAGTAAGTTACTATGATTATTTCATTGACTAAATGAAATAAATTAAAAAAATAGAACACAATGAATAATTAAAGTAATAAGTAATATTATCTACAAGATACAATATCCAAGATATATTTATTTGACAATATGCACAACTTGGTCTCTTTGTAGTTAGTGTGGTATGGCTCTACCATGTTTCTGATGTATAAGATATGTACCTCTAAATCCATAGGTTTGGAAAGGAAATTCTACACTTTGTGGGGCCTAGGTCCTACGCTACACACTCTCTGAGACCTGGCAAAAACACTGCAGAATTACTATTATTGCGTTTCTAGTCATAAACTCACCTTAAAAGTCAGCCCAATTTTGTGTTTAAAAGGGAACTAGCAAACTGATTTTTAGTTCTAGAGGGGAATTTTGATATGCCATTAATAATATAATCAACCTTAAAATCACTTTTTGGCAATTTCTTTTGGAGTTATAGGCCATTGAATACAATTTAATCCTGACGTCACTGGCGAAAAAGGTAACAAAAGATCGTGTAAATAAAACCGCGTAGGGTATCCGCGTGTGCAATGCAGCCTGTGTTTGTTTTAAGAATACGGGCATTAGTCTAATAAGATAATCTACGTGAATACTCCGAGTTTCACTGCCATTTAATTTCTGTGACTTGAGTATATACATAATTGAAATATAGATTAGATTTAACATTTAATTTGCATACAGTATTTTAATTTCCATGTTCTTGTGCATATTTATTTTTCATTGCTTTTATGTTGTTTTTTAGTTTCCTTGGGTACTTGCTGATTATACCAGTGAAACATTAGATCTTTCTAATCCAAAAGTCTTTCGTGATCTGTCTAAGCCCATCGGCGTGGTCAATCCAAAGAATATTCCCGATGTTGAGGATAAGTAAGTACTATGATTATTTCATTGACTAAATTAATTAAATTAAAAAAAATAGAACACAATGAATAATTAAAGTAATAAGTAATATTATCTACAAGATACAATATCCTAGATATATTTATTTGACAACATGCACAACTTTGTAGTTAGTGTGGTATGGCTCTACCATGTTTCTGATGTATAAGCTCACTCCAGGTATAAGTCCATTAGAGATATGTACCTCTAAATCCATTGGTTTAGAAAGGAAATTCTACACTTTGTGGGGCCTAGGTCCTACGCTACACACTCTCTGAGACCTGGCAAAGACACTGCCGGATTACTATTATTTGCGTTTCTAGTCACAAACTCACCTTAAAAGTCAGCCCAATTTTGTGTTTAAGAGTGTGTACTCGAAAAACTATGTCATTTAAAAAAAAATCAAACAATGAAGATTGTATTCAATAAATTTTTGCTGATGATGAGTGGTGTCATTTTGAGTGACAATCCTATTATGAAAGTAACTATTTTGTCTTTCCAATAGGTATGAACATTTTGAGGATCCCAGTGGAACAATTGCCAAGTTTCATTACGGAACTCACTACTCCAATCCAGCTGGTGTTATGCACTATATGGTGCGCATGGAACCATTCACAACTCTTCACATTCAATTGCAAAGTGACAAGTAAGTCCATCTTTAACACCAGATGTTGAAATCATGAATATGCATTTATATGTAATGAATATGCATAAACCTGATATACATATTTTCCTGCTCTTTCATAGGTTTGATTGGGCAGATCGGCAGTTCCATTCCATTCCTTCACTCTGGCGGATATTGATGGATAATCCTAATGATGTCAAGGAACTCATACCAGAATTCTTTTACCTACCAGAGTTCTTGGAGAACAGTAATAGTGAGGAGTGTAGATTAGAGAATTATCATTTGTTTAGTTTAAAAAATTATCAGAATGAGATCTAAAATCAGTGTTATCACAAACATTATTAAATTGTATGCATGAATAGATAAAATTGTAAGCTAAGAACATACAATAACTAACAATAATTGAATACTAATAAACAGTATATTATTACTGATATTTGACATGTTGATGTATTCTTGCTTTAGAGTTTGACTTGGGTCGCCTTCAGACTGGAGAAGAGGTGAACGATGTCATTCTACCTAAGTGGGCTGATTCAGCTGTGGACTTCATCTACAAACACAGAGAGGCTCTTGTAAGTGATGAATACATAATTAGTAATTTTTCATATTATTTAAAGTACACCTCTCTATCACATAGTGCTTTATTATGCTTGCCACATGGTGCTCTGCGGACAACGTAATGTGTGGCACAGTATGTATTGGCGTGTGTGATGTAGTGCTTTATGAGGTAACGTACTATATATGTGGTACATGGTTCTATGTAGTAGGTGGTGCTAGGTGGTATAAGGTGCTAAGTGGTACATGGTGGTACAGCGATATGTGAGATATGGCATTGAAGAATTTCATTTTTATCTTACAACTTAGTTTGGCTTTACGAAAATGTATTACATGCTTATTTTCAAATAAACATGTTTATTGTTTAGGATGGTTTTTGAGGGCATTTATCATTGCTAATTTGATAATATGGCCAGTGAATGACCCAAACATAATCATTAACAAATGAAAAGCATAGAACATAAATACATGACCTTTAAAATTTAGTGGGTTTTTTTTGTCTTTTGATTACCAGGAGAGTGAGTATGTTTCGGCACACTTACATGAATGGATTGATCTCATCTTTGGTTATAAGCAGAGAGGACCAGCGGCTGTTGAAGCCCTCAACGTCTTCTACTATTGTTCATATGAAGGTTAGTGATAACTGCTGCAGTATATAATGACAATGATGTTGATTAGGTAAAGGTAGGAGAATAACCCATAGCTTGCATCATCATTGTGCTGAATTGCATATGGGCGTAGATACATGTTCACATCATTCCACAACGAAATGGGCTAAAATGAACCATAACATCGGGGTAACCCCCTACTCTTCGAAAGATGCAATGGGTTCTTTAAAGTGCACATGAGCCAGATGTATACACTGGATCTCCATTTTAAATCTTTATTCATGATGACTTGGTTCTACCAACTGAACCATGGGCTAGGAGTGGCAAGAATGTTAAGACTGTAGCTAGTGGTACCCCTGCCTTACCGCTCAGCCACTTGACTCGCCCAAAATGGGTAAGGCTTAATTTAATCACCTAGAGGTCTTGGGAGTGGAGTTACGAGAACAAATCCTGCCAAACCTGGAATTTGACAGTCATCCAACCATTTAAAAAAAATCTATCTTGCTAACATTTGTTTTCTAAATACTTGCATTTACAGGCGCCGTGGACCTGGATGCCATAGACAATCAATTTGACCGGCTAGCATTAGAAGGTATGATCAAGAACTTTGGACAGACCCCATGCCAGCTCTTGCGTGAACCTCATCCACCTCGATTTTCTGCAGAAGAAGCTATAAAGAAGACATTCAAAACTCAGCAAGCTGTTCTCAATCTTTTCAATAATCTTAGTGAATTGAAGGCTTTCTTTGTTGAGGTAAACATGATCATTACTACATACTGTAAAGCTACACTCTAACAGCCAATAAAATTTCAGTTAAGTTGTGATGTCACAAGTTGACTAGTGATGTCACAAGTTGACTGCATATAAATTATATAAAGTTAAGGTCATGGTTACTAAGTCAAAGTTTATGATTTAAGAAAACAGCTGAAATGTTTAGAATTGTGTGATATATCAGGTATATAATCTTTATGGTAATTTTTATATATTTTATGTGAATGCCCTTCAGAAGTTTAGTTTTTCACTTATGTAAAATACTTGTGAAAAAGGTAGTGTATCAGAAATCTTTATCCTATTAATTTTTCCAAGTTATTGTCTTATTTTTTCCTTTCTTGTGGCAGGCATCTGCAACAGATAGTGAGCCACTGGTGTATGTGAACGTGCCAAGAAGTCAAGCTAGATCCTTCATCCATCATGGCATGCCTGATAACATTGTAAGTACAAATTCAAGATACTCATTTCAACTTTTTTAGTCTTCACTATTTTAAAGTCAAGGGCGGGTTGGGTGGCTGAGCGGTGAGGTAGTCACAGCTCATGCCCATACGCAATTCAGCACAATTACGCTGCGAGTTGTTGGTTATTCTCTTACCCTTACCTTTCCTAATGTCAAATTTTTAGTGTTGTCTTCTGTATAATTTTTTTTTATCATTGATTTTGTATATTATATATTATATTAATATATTAGTATATTATAAACTTGTATTTTTGACATTCTGTTTTTTTTTTTAATAAAATAAATCTAACCATTTAATTGTGGATTTTTTTCAACTTCAGATAACAGTCAGTGAGCGTGGAATTATGGGAGTGCATGGCTGGCTACCGTATGACAAATATGTTGCATATTTCTTTACATTTGATCGAGATCCTTCACTTCTAAATGCCAGGTAAGCTAGATTTAATATTTGATAACAATCAAATATATTTAAGTTTCTTTTTGTTCAAAATGAACATTAAATCTTTCTGTTGAAACCAAAAATTTACATTCTTAAGGCTTGTATGTTTCAGAAAAAATTAAAGACATGTCTGTTTTACTATTGTCACATTCCCCCTCATGGTTGTTCCACTATTGTTACAATCCCCCTCTGTGAAGAATGTTGAACTGCCTCAAGGCTTTGTACATAAGGCTCTGTAAACCAAATTTTGCATACATTTGGCATTCTATGTTTATAAAAAAAAAAAAATACAAATATTTTTTGTAAACTAACCTTTAATGTAAAGCCAAATTTTTAATTTGTTTTTAGGACAAGAAAGATGGTTGGTGGTCCATTTTCTCCTGGATTTAAGATTTCTTCATCGCTGTTTGTCACTAGTCATGATTCCAAGCTCCTGTTCACTGGTGGGCATTGGGACAGTAGCCTACGGGCAGTCAGTGTGTCTAAAGGCAAATTGGTGACACATGTCATACGGCATATAGGTATGTTACAAATACATTGGTTCTCCTGAGTATTGCATTCTGAATGTGTTGTGGGTTAGCTCCCTCACAGTGCTAGTAATTAGTCTAAAGCTTGGTTTCCATCAAATCGCTACAAAGTCGCAAAAGCATTTTCACTGGAATCGTTGCACTGCATAGCTGTCCCAGATGCAATCGGTAACGCACCCTGATTGAACTGACCAATTAGCATCGCCAAAGGAGTCGGCGATAGTGTGTAGCGATTTTCCTGGAAACCAGGATTACGGGGACTATTCCATTTATTTCTTGAACTTCAGTTGATAGAAAATCAACATACAGTAGTATGTCAAAGGTGAAGCATTATTGACAACTACTTCCACTTTCTATTTATTTAATATATGAGTGGTCCATCCAGTCATCCAGTAAAATTGATAATTTGCGACCTTTGATATGTTAAGCAGTAAGGCAGGGACGGCACAACCTACAGCATTAGCATCAATGCTGGTTTGAGAGCCTCCTTGCTCATGGTGTTGTTTGCTAGAACCAAGTCTTCTGCTATAAGGACTCAAAACTGTAGGCAGAGTTCACTTTAGTTTTGGTCATTGTTGGAGGATTCAACTGACTGACCATCTTTCTACCTTAGCTATATTACTCAATGACCATGCCAGGGGTCCCAAATCAGGATAGGTGCTTGCACTCCTGAGAGAAAGCCAACATCCCCCATCTACTGTAAATTGCATGGTATTATCTATTGTCTCCCAGAAATTTGCCTTAGAGACCCAGGCCCTCCCATCCAGCTGTGCTGATTGCCAATAAAGATGATTAAGGATAAGAAAATAAAATTAGTTGTGTTAAGAAAGCTTATTTAACCAGATCTCCTGAAAGTTGTTTCTTTCAACAACTTGGGACCCATGCCACTCTTGCATGCAATTCAGCAAAATGGCGCCACAAGTTACAGCTTGAATTGAATTATGTTTACCCCAACTTTTTATTTTTTCTGCTGATGATCATCATATTTTATATCTGTTGCTTCTTTTGATTGACAGATATTGTCACCTGCCTAGCTTTGGATCACTGTGGTACACACCTGATTACAGGATCACGTGACACAACCTGCATGATTTGGGAGGTCACATATCAGGTCAGATAACAACCATTCATTTAACATGGATAGTTGCTATAGTGCTTCGTTACATTTACATAGCATAATGAAAAATAAAATGTAAAATAGCCAAAGTGTTTGTCTATGTACTCTATTCTGTAAAACATTCCTTGAAGCTGGTTGTCTTTGGAATCAGCCATTTCTGACCAACAGTCTTCAAATTTAGTTTCAAACTTATTTAGGAACTTTTAATTTTTTTATTGGTCATTATTGAATTTCTGTAATTATTTTACTTTCTTTGTGACCATACCAACCAGCAATAAATTGCAAGTAACAGGATGGATTAACTAGAAGATTTAACCTTCAGTTGAGTAATAAACAAGTACATCTATGTATATTTCCTCTACCTGTAATCTACCTGTAAAAGGTGGCCACACCCATGGGCTTGACTTTCAGCCCCAGCCTTGTTGCACTCATTTTATATTATTATTATTTTGAGTTTATGCCAAATCTTAAACCCATAAAAGATGGGCACACCCATGGGTTACACTCCAGATAAAGTCTTCTACCCATAAAAAATGGTTACACCCATGGCTAGACTCTATCCCAAAAGTTAATATCACCCTTCTGAAATGATCGGTTTATTTCAACATTTTTTTTTTTTTTTTTTTTTTTAAATTCGTTTTTTTTTTCTGTCTCTTTTTTTTTTTTTTCGTTTGATAGGGAAACATGGCAAGTGGACTCAACAGCAAGCCATTGCAAGTTCTGTATGGTCATGACGACGAGATTACTCACGTAGCTATTAGCACTGAGCTGGACATGGCAGTATCAGCAGCCAAGGTAGAATTTATTTAGTTTTCATTGTATAAATAAACTACTTGAAATCAACTGCATAGACTATTTCAGGTTGTCTCTTTATGATGGACTTATTGTGGTATACTTAACTACAGGATGGTATTGTGATTATCCACACGGTGCGCAAAGGTCATTACATTCGCACGCTGCAGCCTCAGTGTAAGGAAGGACTCGGCCTGTACATCCCAAGGCTTGCCATCTCGGACGAGGGTCACATCGTACTCCATTGCCAGCAGATAAAAGGAAACAAACCAGTTACGGTAAAATAAACTAATTATGTTACTTTGACTTGGATATAATAATTTGACAAAGTAAATGTTTTCTGTTTATATTTATTACAAATGAACAAAATAAACAAAATTAAAACTGTGATGATTAAAATGAAAACTAGATAGAGCTTTTCGATTGGTGATTGTAACATTTTATCTAAAATTAAAACACACAGTGACAGTGCCAGAGATTTCCTGACAAGGGGTCCAGTGTCCCCGACAAAAGGTCCAAAGTCCCTGACATGAGGACCACACCCACCTCAGCACCAGGCAAGATTGGAGCAAATTTTAAGAATATATACAGTACCAGATACCTAGAAATAGGACTCTCACACTTTAAAAAAGCTTTTTCCAAGCAGGTGTTCCTCGATGACATTACTGGCTTCTTTCACTTCGGGGTCCAGGTTTCCCCAACGGGGGTCCATTACCCCCTGGACCGTTCCCCGAATGCTACAGCTGCATTCAAAACTAATGAATGGATGGCACTTTATTCAAAATTTCTACGACTAAGCTCCACATCTAAATGTGAGAATAATTATTCTAATCATTAATTTTCTTACTCGGTTTTTCTTTGTAGGAATTATCTAGCTTGCATGTGTATTCAATAAATGGAAGGCATCTCTGGAGTCAAGAAGCTGTTGGCAACATCACAGACATGAAGATTCACAGCAAATACCTCCTGACTGGTGATCAGAAAGGAGTCTTCAAAATTTGGGATGTATATCGGTAAAAGCTTCTGCACTATTATTGCTAATATGCTGTAAATTTCATTGTCTACATTGAATCTCAGTTAAAGGTTTTATTTAATGGTTGATACACTCACACTTAACACAGAATAAGCAATTTTTTTTTTTTTTTTTATAATTCTTTATTAGTCCTAATTCAAATTGTAAATTTGACACATTACTCAACATAGTACTTACCCCAACACAGCTTATAGACGTGTACAACAATACAAGATTAAAACTTTTGCTTTCTTCTATTTCAGCTTGAAGGTGCTTGCATCCATTCCTTTGAACGTACCAATCCAGTGTCTCTCACTGGCTCCAAAGAACAGCCACATTTTTGTTGGCCTACGTGATGGCAAGCTCATCATTCTTGGTGTCTCCAATCCCAATGAGCCAAAGAAACCTACTAAGTCTTGACCAAGTTTTACAGATCTACTTTTACTTAAAATGGTGTATTAATAAATAGATCATTCATTAAATGCCAAAGAACCCTGCTAGCGGTGGCGGATCCTGGGATTGCAAAAAAAAGGTGCTAGTCTCCCTGGCAGGAGCCAAAATATTACTAAAAATTAAAGTCATTTATATAAGAGATTAAAATGGCTAGAGGTCTAAAGCTTTAACCCCTGGAACAAAATAGTTCCCCACAGGCTTCCTCTCTTGACTGGTTCTCTTCCCACCCCCCTCCCCACACTCTTTTTCTTTACTTTCTTGATTGCCATTTGCACCACCCTGAGAAAAAAATGTTGGGTCCGCCACTAACCAGATACAGACATGGTGTCCACAATGAATAGTAGGATGCTATATTTAGACATAATACGCACAATGTCAGCTACACTGGACAAAATCTTCGTGAAGTTAGTGGTCAATGAACCAAAGGATGAAATTAAAAATTTAATTAGCTGGATACATGTTTATACATATTAGCAACATTTTACACAGATATAATATTAGTAATATTTTATTGAATCATGACTGATTGATGACCAGGACAAACAACATTAAACATTTCACAATATATAGTTTTAATTCTGTACCTTGAATATAAATGCTGGTATTGACAGGAAACGAATATATATTTTTTCATTGATCAAATGTAGATTTTTGTAACGCAACAGAGGCTTTATTAACAAATTATGAGCAATTTATTTTTTGTGTATTTTGATGAATGTGTTTCTACTTAAAAAGTAAAAAGTAAAAGTTTGAATTGACAATCTTTTTTTTTCAAAAAAAAAAACCCTTTTTGTTTACCACAAATTTTTGGGTGACAATTCATAAAGATTTCTTGTGTATATATATTGTTTATATTCTTTCACTGTCTATTATATTAGTTTCTAACACCTGGTTTCCTTAAAATTGCTACACTTTCGCTGCAGTGTTTTGAGTGCAGTTGTACTGAGTAGCAGTCCCTGATGCAATCGAAAAGGCTCGCAATTTGACCGATAAATAGCGATTGTATGGAAACAAGCTTAACTAAACAGTGACATACATGGCAACTTAATTAACATAGGCTACCGTACAAACAGATGATTTACTGATGTTTTCATCACAAAATGCGACATATTGTTGATGACATCATATGAGGAAATGATCAAAGTATGTCAATTTTTTTTTTTTTTCGTTTTCGTCACAAGTTTTTGAAATACTTTGATACTAATATTTTATGATAGTATGCTTTTAAATCAATTTTTTAACTATGAAAGTAGGGGGTACAGTGCTGGAAGAAGTAACTTCTGGGAGAGTCTGTAAAATGGGCTTTCTTAAACCTTCCAATATTATTTTACTGCACATGACACGATACCCATTGGCACTGAGGGAGATTCTTGCTTGCTTGCAGTAGTGCGGGTGCCATCCTAATTTTTTTTTTTTTTTTTTGGTTTTGGGACCAGTGGTGGCTTCTTCAGAAATTTGAGGACAAGTGGTCCGACATGTCCGACAGAAGGATCCAAACCAAGGGGCGACTAGAGCTTCTGGATCCCAGTCCTTTTATTTTAGACCTTTGAGGCTCATTTTTCTCAAAGCCACATTTTCTTATACTTATACCCTCAATTTTTGGTTCTATGGTGAGACTTCTTACATATGAGAAGACTCCACACATAACTGAATGATCGTCAGTTTGGATTGACATTTATACTTCGTGCAAATAATTTTACCTTAAGAAACATAAGGTCAAATTAAGACTGCTCTTTTGTGTTGCAGCTAAAACCTAAACTACAAATGTTTCTTTAGCATGCAGGCATGTAGTAAATTGGTGTTTTGGAAACGATTTTTTTTATCTCTATTACCATCACCAAAAAAAAAAAATTTGTTAATAGAAACATTTTTACTATTTTTTTGCAGTAGAAACAGGCCCTTTGATAATGATGATTTTTGCATAAAAAATCATTGTAAAAATTCAAATAATTGATAATAATATCAAACATATAAATGATAAAATATTAATTTCATGAAATACTATTATTAATCTATTAACAACATGAGAACGTGTCTGTTATGTATGTCATTGTGTAGCCATGGTGCTGTTATATACAGTAGCTTATTATCACAGTTGTACTACATAATTTTATAGTGTTATATGTAAGAACATCACAAATATACAATGAATTTGATTTATTTGAGCAATAAATTTTTGCATGATAACCAATATATTTTCAATATATGTTTATATACTTTATTTTTATTAATCCCATTCTGTCTTTGAGTTTTTATGTTCAATGCAATTGAAATTTACTACGTAGAAAAAAAAGAGAAAGCAACGATTTTGATTTTGTGGCAATGAAATTTGTAATTCAACAAACACATGTTATATTGTGATGAGGAAAAAAATCTATTGAAAAGACAGAAATATAAAGAGTATGCACTTTCATTAAAAGATCGATTGATTAACTAAAGGTAATTTTAACTGCCATATTCCATTAAATTTTTATTAATCTTTTAATCTTTATTAATTTATTGAGGAAGATTATTATATTAGATTAAGTTATTTCCAAGTAATCTATTCATTTAAATTTCATTAAGAAATATAAAGAGTATTAAGAAATACTCACATATTAAGAAATTATATATACGTGGACTGGATTAGTTTTTCAAATATTGTTTAATGTAATGTGTTTATGTTGCTTAAGTTCATTTATTGTGTTTCTGTTTTGAATTTATAATTGCAATTTTAGACAAAAAATATAAAGGACAGATTGAATAATTAGTCTCACCAATGTGCAATGATAAATGCCTATATTTGTTACTAATGAGGAGAATATTATGTGAATAAATATCTAATTCTAGAAAACTGATTATTATGCTGTTGTGTTTTGTTAGTGTATTTCGTGAATACTTACCTGGATAATGAACCGATATATGCCAATTTCCTCTTAGCAACTTACCTCGAACATTATGGTCTCTTCCGACCCAGGCATATAAAGCAAAAATGCATAATGTAACAGGCCTCAATTTCCCTTTCGCTGTGAGCGAACATACGCATTGAGAGCTAGCTTGAAATTTAGCTTGTGTGTTCTTCAACGTTTTGTGTTTCCACAAATTCTGTTAGTTATTGTGGAACTAGAGTGTGCGATTACATCCACTTACTATTATTTGATTAGAGACCCTAAATATCTATGCGAGTCCTTCGGATCCGTTCAGCGAAAATTTTTCAAACAACACGTCGTTTAGAATATTTGAAGGAAAACTGGGTTAACTTTCGTGGCCGGGAATAAATACTAAACAAAGTGGAACCCTGGGTTCTTAATTAATTTGTTTGAAGGGCCAAATTATTTTTAGAGTTGATCGCATAGTCCAAAGATAATCTCCAGTCAGTTGAGAGCAGTTGTTATAGGACCTGGGTGAAAATCTTTCCGCTAAAATTGCCCTAAGTGGCACACAGTCATGACTTGCGATATTTGTAGGGCAATCGAAAAGTAGTTTTATGAGCACTGTTCCTTGGTTCACTAACTTTTTATTACCATGCAAAATTAAGTAGGAATATTTCAGTGGTGGTGGATCCAGGAATTCGAAATAGAGGGTGGGGGTGGGGGTTCATGGAGGACTTTCACAAATAGAGGATCCACCCACCTCAGCCCCACCATCATTGGGACCCTTGAATCCGCCATTGGTTATTGGCGATAAAACCTATAATAGACGTATTGCAAAATACCCCTAAGTTTGCTTGTGTTTATTGCTATGATTTAACAATGGGCATCTTATACAATGAGTCTCAAATCATGCATCAGGCTCTGCAATCATTACAATTTTAACATCCTATGATAATGTTTTTACTTCCTCTGAGCTGTATGTCAGAAGTAGACGAGCTAGTAAGAATACCAATCTTGGGAGTTTTTATAGTTCTGTTTGTAGGGTTTAATTTTAGGTCTCAGTTGGGTAACCCCTACATTTCCGCATTTTCGCTTTTTTTTTTAAATTTTGCTTGTTTGAAGCACACAGTTAAGAATAGGACCACGGAAACCACCCGGTGATCGATTTTTGGCGTTATTTATTCAAATTATGGCTTATATTATCTTGCTCATTTTCAAACCATCCCTGCCCAGGGTTGCATTTTTGTCTTTAAAGAAAATGTATTCCTCATACTTTTAATAGGCCTATGTTTTTATTTCTTATTATTTTGTTTTTTTCTCACGGACCAAATTAAGTTGCCTAGCGGGCCAAATTTGGCCTGCGCGCCGCCTATTATGATCCAGGGTTGTATCAACAAAATCAGAAGTCTTTTAAAAATAATACACACCTTTTCGAGATACCATTATATTTTATTAGCCATACCATTATTTAACCATACCAATTTTCTTATATTGACAAGAACTAGGTGATTTGCCATTCCCACATTCTTAGTGGTCATTAAACAATCGGAGTAGGCCTAAGACGTAAAAGATGAATTTGCTGAGTTGTACACAAAACACTTAATGCCCCTGGGAACCAACTGAAATCGTATAAAAGACTACTTGTCTCACAAATAACGTAGCACACTCTTGTCCCTGTCTCTTATACACATCTAGATGTGTATAAGAGACAGCTATATATATTAACTTTAAAATTAATTATTATTAGCATAATAATTGTATTGAGTACTTGTTATTATTAATAAAGTAAATCGTATTCTTCATAAATATTAATCATTATTTATTATTATATTATTACCAATTATTATCCATTATTAGGCCATCTGTGGGCTTCTTGTCGTTCCAGAGGGGTCCTGGGTCTCTTCCACCTTCTTTCTTCCTGTCACCTTTCCAGCGGTAGCGCCCTCTGGAGTTCCCAAATTGATTCGTCGCCCAAAACAACATCATTCATAAATCGTTCGTACTGCTGTACTACTACTACTAGGCTACTACTACTGGTACTGCTTTACGGCTTGTATTTTGCTGATTTTCCCAGGGTAAGATGTATTTTTATTCGCCCTTTTAAAAATGCTAATGATTGTTTTTGGTAACAAATTTCGATAAGGTATATTAAAACATTAAACCATTGATTTAAAACTTACTGAAGAAGGCGTTGGCACGAAGTAGGCTAGGCCTAGACATTACATAGGCCTCCCTAGCTAGGCATAGATAGGTATGGTGGTGCCCGCCCCAGGCACTCTGCTGATGGAGCTGCGTAGTTAACCCAGGAACATGGAAGGACAACTCTTTATTTATTGCCTAGGCCAGGCTGCCAGGTAGTTGATAGGCTAGGCCCTACTAGCCTAGTACTGTAAACTACTATTTAATTAATTTTTAACTAGGCCTATGTGTAAAATTTAGGCTGTTTTTCACTTAGGCCCTAGGCGAATTAATTTGTGCGAATCGAAAATGTCGGTTTGCTGAGCTGTGGTTTGTTGTGTTGTGCGCACTTTGTTTCTTTTGCTCATTATGAGTTGCTGATGTTGTTACAAACATGTTTCAAACTGTGCGCTCAGTATGCAAACTGCGCAAGTTTTCTTTTAGCATTTATCGTAAATTGTTTCAATTTATTTATTGATATTGATATTAACTTATTAAAATTATGATCCAACATAATGTATTTTTTGTGAGATATGTCTACGGCAATTCTGATGTTTTTAGCGATCGGAAAATTTTCAGTGATAAAAGATAAGCCTAGGATAGGCAATGTGTGTGTGGGACAGGGTCGGTCGCTATTAAATTATTAAAGGATTTACCAAGTCTACTAAAATAAATATTAATAATTACTATTTAGATGGGAAGCTCAAGCAAGTTGTCAGTAGTTTTTAATTTATCAGTTCATTTACTTGTATATTAAAAATACATAGTTACTTATTCAAAAGCCTAACAAAATAAGGGATCGTTCAGTTTTTGAGTGAAAAAGGGAGTGATCACTTGAGTTTCTCAGATTGTATACTAATTTGTGACTTTCTTTGGGCAGCCAGGTTTGGAATGATAGATGGTGAGCAAGTTTCTGTGCAAATTTAGTAGATAAGCTTTCTCTACGTTCAAATAATCTGTCTATTGTGCACGAGCTACCCCTCAACAGTTTGCAGATTATCCACGCATTTTAAAACTCTGCAACAATCTCCTTGCACAGTTTGAAAATTTTTTTGTATAAAGTATAAAAAAAAAAATAGGTAACATTCAATTTTTTTGAGGGACAGCAAAAATCGTGGATGATCTACCTTCTTTTTTCAAATTTTGTGGTCAGTTTATTGATGGTTTAATAATATTGTTCTTGCTGGAAGGAAGTAAAATCCATCTTTTTTGTGCCTTGGTTTTTTATTTTATTAAGACAACAGCTGATATTATATTTCATGGCTGATATTAACACTCATGAAATTCGGTCTTTAATGAATGATTATAAAGTTGACAAAATACACAAATAGGTAATTTTACAGTAGGCCTATTCATCTTTTCATCTTTGACAGTAAACAAGGTTGGGAGAGTTTTAGCATGGAGCGGTTAGCAATTATAGAAATGCAATCTTCAGTACAGCCTGTGAACTTGTCTAGTTACAAAGCTTAACCTACTTTTTCTGGTGTGTAAAACTAATGATGACTGACCTGGTTTATCATCCAGTCCTCAATATTTTTCACTATTCTTAAAATATTTCCTTAAATCTGAAAATCTATAAAGTTATATACTTATCATTAAAAGTAAATTATAAATTTTAATACTATATATTATATTATAGAAACAACAATAAATGTATATTACAGTAGGTCTGTGTCTAGGAAATTATACAAATTGTTGCAGCAGAATACATGTGTAGCAAAGTAAACAAACAGTTATATTTCAAAGTTCAGGAAGGTATTCACGCTCTAGTGAAAACAATTAAATTCATTCATGCCCACGGCCATATGTCTGTTCAACAGTTCATAGATAAAGGTACCTTAACCAAACATCTACTTCCTAATCCAACTCTGCTTTATCTGAACTTAATACTATATCTTACCTATTAATAATATTAATAATAATACAGTACAGTGGGGTATTTTGGATGGCGAATTGGGCAGGACAAATGAACAAAAAGGTGCGTCTAAATAAGTGTGTACTGGTTGTCGAGCACTTTTGTGTTTTTTACCACACAAAAGGTCTGTAACAACAACAGCTCATATTTTAACATGCTTTTTTGTTTTCACGAACCGACCCAATCTACTTTTTTTTGTGATGGGAGCAACAAAATGTACACCAGCAAAGAAAGTGTACCAATATGAGTGCTTGCCATTAGTGGGAAATGCGAAATATTATATTTGTAGTATGCTTCTGTCAGTGGAACTTATCCTAGGGAAATTCTCCTTTCAGTGGGCCTCATGGGGTTGGTTGCCCTGTCAGTGAGTGGGAAATGCTCCTGTTTGTTTGAAATGGTCCTACTGTATTCTTGATATGGGGTGCTTCTATGGGAAATGTTCCTGTCACTGGAAGTGTTGTTATTATGGAATGCTTGAACTGTCGGATACAGTTTATGTCAATGGCGAATCAATGGATCACTGCATTTGCTATGTTTGACTGTACTGTAATAATACCTGTATATAAACTGAATATGCTGGTAGTCATAGTCCAACTAAACCCAGGTCTACAGTATGTTCAACTGACAAACACCAAGTGCTTCCAACTATGGAAACTTGTGAATATGCTATAGTGCAGCATAATAATAATAATGATGGTACCAGTTAATTGAGTAATAATACAGCTGAAAGTAAGCTAACGTTAGCAACATTCCAATAAACTGGACGTCAGTGTAAAGTAGCATTATATACAAGGGCTTTGCCATCTAACTGATTGGTAGTGAGCAGTGAAGTAGATAGATTACTGTCCATTATATTCCATATCCTGGTATTTTAAATAATTTAACAATGGTTGGATGGAAGAGTTTCTGTCAGAAGAAAATGTCTACTCTTGGCAAGAATGTCAAAGGTAAGTTTTTGTTTTATAATTGTTTTATTTTTGTAAATAAGTAGTGTTAAAATGATTGAACTCATGGAATACAACACTACTATGTCTTTACCATTAAAGTGTTTACATTATGGCTGGTCAGTTTTTCATAGACTACACAATACAAGGAAGTACATTATTATAGACAGTACTGTATAGTATAGGTTTAAAGAAGGCCTGTCTATTGAATTAGTGTATTTTGTTGGCAAAATTCCAATGTGCATCATTGTAAACATACTGTAGACCATGAAGTAAACAGTAGCAAAAGTGTATATTTTCTTATCAACAATGAAGACTTTCATGTTTGATCAAAAACTCAGTAAAATTATTAACTTAAGGCCCATAAAATTGTTAAGTTATTAAAGTTTTATTTTTGACATTGAATACTTTTAAATAGTAATAGATTCAAATATTGATTTACAAAGTTGGCAACTCTTCAAGAAGATAAAAGTTTAGCCTCCATCATTCAATTCAAATGACATACAGTAATTACAAATAGAGGATTGTGATTGGTTTGTGGGTTATCATAAATGCTATACCCCATGAAGTACTCTATTGGAACAAAAGTTGTATGATGTGGTTATCTATTAAGTTTACGTCAAAGTCAAATGACTCCATTTTAGTAAAATTTATATCCTAACCTATTTGAGAGGCTATTAAAACTAAATAAATAGAAAAATAAAATATTTCAGGAAGAAATTTATCCTGCCTGATACCGTCATAATATCTTCCATACAATAACATTTTTAAAAATGTTTCCCTCACAATTTAAATTAATATAAACATTTATCAGTTCAATGGCTGGAATGTTTGAATGAATCGCAACATCATATTTTTTATACAGCACCACAATGTCGAGTGAGGGCTCAGCGTGCCCTCTATAACTTTTTACTTCACAAAATTTTAAAGATATTGACAAAAGAAAAGCATTTTATTTTTATTTTTCCATCCAGATTAATTTGTATAGTAATAATTTTGTTTTTATTTTTCCCATATTCTGAATATAATACATTTTACTATAAATAAAGATATATAAAGATGTAAAAAAGTCCAAGCCTATCAAATAATAACATACTGTACAGTACTGAATTATCACAAACTGAACAAAGTTGTGTTTTTACTGAAATGACTAGTATTGGATATTTACAACTAAATACTAGTCATTCAGGAAAAATAGCACTTTGTTGAGTCTGTATTGGGTACAGATGTGAATCATTGTACAGGTTGGCCTGGACTTATAGTACATTCTGTGCATTTCCTGCAAGCAAACAAGAATCTCCCGGAAAGTAACCCATCTCCGCAAATCCCTAATATTTGCATGTTTTTACTACTTTATTATCAATTGTCTCATGGAAATCAGTGGCGATGGGTATCACCATGCGCACCGAAATATAATTGAGAAAGCTCATTCAACCAGATCTCTCGGAAGGGATTTCTTCCAACTTGGAACCCCTGCCTGCAGATGACCCAATAAATGTTGAAACGTTGAATCATGGCTCCCTCTCTGTACATTTAAATTTCTAGATTTGGCTGGTAAAGTATCATGTCCATTCCACAGTAGTTCATTGATTTAATTTAACCCTGGTGTACAGTAATTAATGCTAATTACTTACATTGTTTTCATATCATGTCTTCAAAATATTTTTGTGAGTTTTATGAAATTGATACTGGTACTGCATTCCTCCCTGTTAAAGTTTCTTTTTTCATTTACGTTTTTATAGAGAATATTAAATACCAAGACATTAAAAACATTTACTGGTATTAACTAATTAATTGACAAATTAATTTGCATATTAATTTGAAATCATGGTACATTTGATGATGAGGTCAAGTAGAAAGTAACTGGCAGAAAATTGGTAATTCATTATAATTTGTTGGAATATGCATTATATTAATTTATTTGTAAAGTAAGACTGAACAACAGTAGATTTAAGTGTGATGTATTGTCCCATGGAAAATACAAAGAACAAAAATCCTAAAAATTGTTTTTGAAATTAATTATCGTGCTCATTTTGATTAACATAAAAAAATAGAAATAGAAATTAATGTAGTAAGTACATTATACCCATAATTTTACAGTGAAGGGTAATAGAAACACTTATAGTCATTAGAAATGTTTATTATTTTTATCATTATCCAGTATAAAAATCAGGGTATGCATTTTTTTAATATAAGAATTTTTATTCTCAAGTAAATAATTTGTGTGTTACTGCAAAATTAGTTAATTTCAAAATGTTTTTAAATAAGATTTTTTTTGTTAATTTCAGTGGACAATACATCTTTACAGCTAAAAATTTGTGTTTAAAAGTTGACAGTATATCTGATATGAAAGTTATTTTCTTAAAAATGCTAAATTCCTAGCTATAGGAATTTACAAAATATCTGATTATAATAAACCGGAATTAGATTTGTTGAATAAAATATGAGAAGTAACTAATGGAATGTGTCTGTAGAGTTGTACTAGTAATGCGTTGCTTGTAATTGTATCATAGGAAATGTAGTTGTATAAACATTATTACTAGCAAGCAGCGTTATATTGACCCACATACTGAACACATTGTGAAGGTGACTTTGAGAACGTATCAAAATACTGGTACACATTCTATTTACGATATATGACAAGTGCTTTCCTGAGAGATAAGCTGAATGCATCGCTCATTCACCTTCAGCTCTGTCAACTGACAAATGATTTTAATGGGGATGACTTGAATGATAAATTCAAGCAAGGTACCCTATCTCAAGTAACTGCATTGCTGTATTGCAATTGTTAATCATTATTAATTGACCTTGAGTTTAAGTCTTACTGTATCCTGTTGCTTTGTATATTTACAATAGTATGGTATCATTTATTAGCTCTATTGTATGGTTGATTGTTGAGGTTCTTTCCTTCCCAGTGAAGATATAGAAGGAAACTGAAAATTGAACATTAATAATTAAAAGGAAGTTTCTGGTAAAAATCGTAAACAACAACAGAAATGGTTATCACCCAATGCCGGTTTAGCCATCAGTTTTACCAGTAAAAATGAACAGCTAACCAGTAAAAATAGTTTGGTGGGGTAAAATTTTCATGTCATTTCATATGTGCTTGGCTAGCGTTTACCATATGTACAAATTTAGAAGTAAAAATGTTAGAACATTAAGAACAACAACATAAAATATTACTACCTGTGTTTTCCAACATTAATAATATATTGGGAAATCTAGCTGTCAACAACTGAATATTAAATTTAGGATAAACATGAAAGCAATGCCAGACTTATTTTGATTTGCTGAATATGGCAGCCATTGTGTTGAGTGCTGATGATACACAAATTTGAAGGAGCATGGTATACTGTCTATAATAGATGTGGTTGGTTGGCACATTGGTTGTGGCTTGGACTTGGACATGGGTTCAAAACTCTTTTGGGCAAGGATCACTTGTGTCCTTGGGCAAGGCACTTTATCTGTGTCTGTCTCTCTCTACCCTGGAGTATAAATGGGTACCTGGTAGGATGTTGTGGCATTGAATGTTTTAGTTTCGTGCGATAAAGAAGTAGCAAACGACTAGGTATACTCCCCAGGGAGCAGAGAAGGTTGCACTTTGTGCTGGTTTGCCGTTGTACGTTATCCAGTGACCATGGCCTTGTAAATCCATTAAGGTTATGTCCCATCAAATGAACAGAATAAAAGTTCAAAACCCTTTATCTAAATGCCCAAATTTTAGATGACATTATGTTCTTGATATTCAGTATTCTATGATTATTTCCTTAATAAAATATATAGTTCTATGATACTGTACAAAAATTGTTCCAAGAACTGAATATTTCAATTGCAAGGACATTGTGCTTTAAACTTACTGGTACCAAATTTATAAATATTGGTTTGGCCATAACACGCACACACACTAAGTTTTTTAACGAGCGTGAATCATGCAATGGAACTAAGTAATACTGTCGGTGAAGAACTGAAATTTATAATGCAATATCTGAATTGGTAAGCAAGTTAGTTTTTAGCTTTCAAAATCGAAAAATCAAAAAAAAAATCAAAATAAGTATTGTCTGAATGACCCTAAAATTTCCATGTCACGCTGTGCTTGGGCATAATAGTGTCATGTGAATGTGTTTTATATTAATTGTCTATCACTACTCTACAAATTATTTTATTGATGGTTCTAATTTTTTCTTGAAAGTTGCACAAAGACAAAATTATGGATACTGTAGCTACTGGAATCGAACCGGTTCATTTGGAACCATTTGATTGGTATTGCTCTCTGCAAACCTCATGCAAACCTCAACAAATTAAGTCTTCTGGTACAGTATGCTGTCTTGAGGTCGGGCAGCAATTCTGTTGAGAACACAATGCCACGATGCACGCAACTGACCATTTTCAATGAAGCTCTGTTCAGAATGCCAGTGACAATCAGTAGAGAGAGCAGCTTAGCTCAGTCGGCTAATCTGGTGTTAGCCACTGTTTGTGCGCCAAACTGTGGAGATCTCTAGGTCTCCTTGTGTTTCAGCTGCAGGGCTGAAATACAAGTTACAATAGCACATCGTCTTTTGGAAGAGACGTTCAAGCCGTTGGTCCCATTTGTATTTATGGGCCATGTCCATGTTAAAGAATACAGGCACTCTTCGGAAAAGAGTAGGGGATTGTCTCCCGGTGTACTGCTCAATCACCACCAGAAGGACCCCACTGGAAATAAGTCATCTTCTAGACTTTTGTGGAGGTTTAGTTATAGGTAGCTTTCAATTTGTTCGACGACGTGATACTAGAACGGAGTCGCTCATGCGTGACCATCCTACCAGGCATCTTATGTTCTCTGCATACGTAGATTTGGCCGAATTGCATCCTAGAATTTAAGCGACGAAGAGAACTTAAATGTTCTCGCATGCGCAGATGACTTTTAGTGACCTCATTACGTTCTACATCTTACCGTCCGCTAATACCACCGCTTGAACTTCCAACTGAGCAAAACTGCCATGGTTGGAAATTATTGTTCACAGTACTTTGCTCAAAGGGACTTTTATCTAGATTCTTTTTTTATTTGTTATTACAAAGGATATTTTATTTTGCTTTCCTTTTATCAGGAGTTATTTACTCAAGTATATCTATCCTTTTCTCTATATTTAGAAATGTATGTCACCATATTGATTTAAATCCACTTATTTTATATGGCTTGTTTACAAAAGATTATAAGAGGATGTATATTCTGTGCTATCAGTTGGCAACCTATTTTTACTTACTATTTTTACTTAAAAACTTGTGTTGCGACCCATTGGTGTCATTATCTACAGTAAACATTATTAATTGGAGTTTTTTATAATTTAATAATATAATAGGTGCTTATCAGTTCAAGAGAGTTAGAGGTCGTTCAACAATATCAACATTTTCACAAGTGTACAAATGGTACGCTAGGAGACAGATTTGTATACTTTATATGCATACAAATGTTGGTATATAAAATAACATGCAATGTAAAATAATGGTAAAATTATAATGTAACCATGGATATAATATTCACTTTTAAGCAACCAAGTACATTGCTTTAGTGCACTTCACAAAAAGATGGAGAATGTTTTTGCAAAATCAGCATTTTTTGTACACTTTTGAGGGAAGGGAAGGGTACCGGAAAAGAGTACTATTTGTACACTGATGAAAATGGTGATAATTGTTAATTGGACAGTTGGGACAGTCCCACACAATTTTCTATTGGGTCCACAAAGAATGGGTCCACATTTTTAAAAATTCGTCTAAATTATACTGTTTATGCAAAAAAAGGGTCTAGATTTCTCATAATTTGCTTAAAATTAGTAAACTTTTAAGATAATGGGTCCACATTCTTCATATTTTTTGCGTAAAATGGGTCAAATTTTTAGGAAATGGGTCCACATTATTTGAATTTACACGTAAAGTTGGTCCACCCTGATATTGTCCTGCACTGTTTTGAAAATCCTGGCTACGGCATTGGAACAATCCTTGAAACTATTGTAGTATTATTGAAAATTTGAGCTACTACACAACATGCCTGTGATGATAAAAATTATAATCTTAGTAAGCATTAAAAAACATTTCACTTTTACACTATTTGAGTTTTTATCGAATTAACTGGAGATTAAGATAATTTGTTCTCTTTCATGCTAGAACTTCTTGAAATATTCTTTTTTATTTTCTCCCTTTGAGACCTCTAGTTTCAACAACATCAACTCTTTTTTTGTCTCCTTGATCAGACATTACTGTGGATCCACGGATGTTTACCACATTACTGTAAAATGTAGTACCAGGACACACTTTTTTTTAAAATTAATGTGTTTGGTAAAAATAGCAATACTGTATGAATGTCTGCATTTGTTTCGGATTGGATTGGATTGGATTTATTCAGTGTTAACACCAAGGATACCCCACGAAAGTCTAGAAGAAGACTTATTTCCAGTGGGGTCCTTCTGGTGGTGATTGGGCAGTACACCGGGAGACAATCCCCTACTCTTTTCCGAAGAGTGTACTGCATTCTTTAACGTGCACATGGGCCATCAATGCACACGGGACCAACGGCTTAAACGTCTCATTCGAAAGATGGAGCCCTCCAGCTGAAAACACAAGGAGAAGCAGCGATGGGAATTGAACCGGAGACCTAGAGATCTCCACGGTTCAGCGGACACACAGTGGCTACCACCGGATTAGCCGACTGAGCTAAAAGCTCCTCTCAGTATTTCTGTGCGAGTAGGGAACTTTAAATTTTTACATTTAGCTGATTAAAAAACCTATCTCTATGTTAAGCCAGACACACACTGCGTCGGCAGGCAAATCCAACTCTGGTCCCTGTGAGTGTTAGATGATGCGACACTGTCTGCGGATTTTCATTAAAACGATTCGTTACGTGCACCTCGTGGCTTTGCGTTGACAATGGAATCGCGTCGACTAACAATAGTTGTGCGCAGCGAACGCTCAGATTTAGACAGGCAAGTTGGAAATTGGAATATGTGATCTAATGAATTTTTGTTATATTTTACTTGCAGTTGCCCTACTTGGTGAGCAAATAAGCAAGATGGCTGAAGCCCATCAGGCTGTCGCGTTCCAGTTTACTGTCACCAACGAAGGAATCGATGTTAGCTTGAACCATGAAGCGTTAAAAGCTGTCTACAATAGTAGCAAAAGGTCATGGAAGAAGCGATTCAGCAGATTCAGGGTAAGCCAATTCATTCATCTTTTTGCCCTCCAATTTGAGATCCCCTCTAATTCTAAGACCCCTCTATTTCGAGACCACTTTTTCAAAGTACCAACTAACAATTTCTATCTTTTTTTTTTTTGATACAATGTTAACCCTCTATTGGACACCGAGACCACTCGGGTCCCAAAGGTGGTCTGGATTTAGAGGGTGAACTACATACACTTTTTAATGTTCTCTAAAGAATCTGGTCAATAGACTATTTTTTTTTGCCATGGTCATCCCAGAATCCTGTGAAAGCACATTAACAACTGGTCTAAATTTATAAGTTGTGTGTTAACAAGTTAAAACTGCTTGCTTAGACATCAGTATACCTTTAAGAAGTTTACAATTGCCTTCTTAACCATACTCTTAGTGTTTCCTTCCCATTTGACGAGATTAACTAGATCAATTAAAGGGAGTGGTATACTAACAAATAATGGGTCTGGCATAAAAGTTGGCGACAACTAAAAGAATCTTGAATTATTTCGTCATAAATTGGGATTGAGCTTATGTATATTGGCCATAGCCCAAGGTTTTACAAGTTTACATAAATGATTTTCTTTACTTTCACCCATGGTCTGGATGATATACTTAAGGCCAAGAATTTCAACAAATTAATTTGAGCCTAGAAGAGCATTGTTTCGATTACAATGAGGAAGACAGAGCATAAGAATTGTTCCCTATGTTATGCCACCAATCAATAGTCCAATAATATCTCTTTTCACTGAAGGAAGTCATTGATACATTGAAAAGCAAAAGAGGGAAATTAAAATAAAATACCTTGTAATGCTATCCCAAATCAAAAAGGCCTTGGTGAAATATGTCAGTGCAGTTGTTGAATCTAGGAAATTGAAATAGAGGGCATTGGGGAGGGAATTTTGTAGATGGATGGCCCACTACCGTTAGGGCTTAGGTGGACAAATTTCATTGGGTTGTGGGAGGGGGGAGGGGAAGAGGGGGATGTGTTGGTATTTTCAGGCAAACCGATACCTTGTTAATATGTACAAGATTGGTAAAGATTGCTTTTATTGAACTTCAAACAATTTTGTGTCTCATCCTTGACCTAATAACTGTCTCTTATACACATCTAGATGTGTATAAGAGACAGGTTCAGCGGACACACAGTGGCTACCACCAGATTAACCGATTGGTAATAGTGGTTTAATGAAATTGAGGCAGTTTCCGCAGATGACGTTAAATATTACATTTAAACTTTATCATTAGGCTTGAAATCTTTTAGTCCATTCAAGATAACTGTTTTGTTTGACTTGTAACTTTTTTTATTCAGTATGATAACCTTTCTTTGATAATATTGTTATCAAGTACTCCTATATTTATAACATTGCTACTGTAGATATGCTTTTTTGTTCTAGAAAAAGGTTTGTTTAAAAATGAGTGCATATTTGGTCAGAAATAGATAAAGATTGCATTTATTATAGTGGATTGATTGCAATGCTATATTTTGCTATGATAATTCTTGATTTGAGTGACTGTCGAGTTGAGTGGCATGTGTGTATCTCCTTTGGGCAGGATTATGTTGGAAGTTTTTTTAATCATTGACAAGGGAAATGATTCATGGCTACAATATGACTGTTCCAACCAATACTATTCTATGGTCATACCTGAATTATATCCTGCTACCCTCACAAAACATGTATGTTTCTAATATGCCCATTGAAACAGAGCAGTCATTGTGTAACGTATCCGTAACCCCACTCCCTATCCCCTCTCCCCCAAAAGAGTATCTCTTTACTGATTTGTATTTCTTAATATTATTTCAAATTATTTATCAAATTATTTTCGAATGGCATTGAAGCTGTATGTTGTACATATGATTATTAACGTTAATGTAATTAATTTACATATTTTTACAATTTTTAGAACCATATTGTTACAACAACCTACCCAGCTAGCCCAGCATCATGGCTTGCTGTTGTGAGTTTAGTTCTAGCCTTTAGTCTGGCCAAAGTCGATCCTTCTATGGGTATGATTGCTAAAGTACGAGAACACCTTCCCTTGTAAGTATCAACTTATTTTTTTAAAATAATTTCTTAATAAACTAACATTTAGGTTGCTAGGGATATTTGAATCATAGTACTGAGGTATGTTATTGTACTATTGTAAAACTCAATTAAATTTTGACCATATTGGCATATTATGAATATTAATTTAGTACTTTGAAACTGACTACCAATCGAGTGAAAAAAATTACCTAAACTGAATGTCACATAATAAATTGTATTATTTATAGAGAGCAGCTTAGCTCAGTCAGTTAATCTGGTGGTAGCCACTATGTGTGTGCTGAACCGTGGAGATCTCTAGGTGCCCGGTTCAATTCCCATCGCTGCCTCTCCTTGTGTTATAGCTTGATGGCTGAAATAAAAATTACAATAGCGCATCATCTTTATAAGACCTTTAAGACGTTAGTCACGTGTGCATTTATGGCCCATGTGCATTTTAAAGAATGCAGTACACTCTTCGGAAAAGAGTAGGGGATTGTCTCCCAGTGTACTGCCTAATCACCACCAGAAGGACCCCACTGAAAATAAGTCTTCTTCTAGACTTTCGTGGGCTATCCTTGGTGTTTACACCAAATACATCCAATCCAATCCAATTGTATTTCTATATTTTCCCATTGTATTTGAAACTTTTCCATTCCATTTTTCAAGTACAGTGTATTATTACTGTAAAGATGTTAGTTATAAATTATATAATAGGGAACATTTCTGAAACTTCTCCATTAAATGTATGGAGGATTTATAAGTGTATTGTTTTTTATTATAACCAATCATACTTTCTTTCCTTTTCAGGGGATCATATCTTGACACTTCCACCAGTAGCTATATGTCCACGATACTGTTTGCTACAATACTTTGGTTGGTGATCATCTACTCAACACGATATATGCTCAAGTTCCTCTTGTCATATCGTAGGTTTATGTATGAGCCAAGAGGAAGAGCGTCACTTTTGACCAAACTATGGGTGGTTAGTATTTCCATTTCTTTTGTCATTATATTAGTAAAGTTTGTTGATATGATGATGACATATTTTCCCTTTTTGGATTTGGACACTATAGTAGGGCCTTACTATTATTACTATTTTGAGGTCATACTCTCATTTAAATTATTAATACTCTGTTCAAAAGAAAGAAGTATTATTTATAACCCATAAAGTGTATGTTGTATTCATTAAGAGGACTGGAGGCATAGGCCTATGTACGATATTATTAATAAATGCCCTAGACTGGCTAGAAACAAACAAAATAGTTCCTCTATTCATTTTTTCATTCATTCTCATGGTATATTTATTAATTCAAAAATTACAATACAAAGGTAAAAAGAAATTGTCAAATATAACATTGTAGTAAAAAGAACTAAATTGTGGTATATTTACAAGCAAAAAACAATTCACAATAGGTAAATAAATACTTAAAAAGCAGAAAAGCAGTTACATTAAGAAGCATAAGAACAACAATTTACAATAAACATACAAATACTAAAAAAGCAAAAAAGCATGGGGCAATAAAAATATTCATAAAAAAAGAAATATTTAAAAATGTAAGAAATCATTATTATAAAAATTGACATTCAAATCTTTAATCCAAATAAGGTTATAATTAATTATAGTAATAATTGCAAAAATTCATATTTTTAAAAAAAAAGCACAGGACAATAAAAATATAAAAAAACATTCAAAAAGAGAAAAATATAAACTCCAAATTCATTATCATTATAAAATACTTTTAATTCAAAATATTCATTAATTAAATATTTATTCGAATATTGCACAAGAAAAAAAAATGTGGTCATTATTATTTATTATAGTGATTATTACTATTTTATTTTATTGCATTTGAGGCCAAGCTGTACTTGCTTGGAATATGATATTAAGGATGCATTTCTTAAGGTATTGCTTAAGTATGCAAGTAATTTATATAATATAAAACTAGGTAAAGAAATCCTTTCCATCAGTAATAAAAGAAGATATTTCTAAATACCAAACTTAATATTAAATTTGTAACTATGCCTATATTTATTTGTTGTGAATTTTTAATTTCTAAAAAAAAATCATTTGGTTCCATTTATTTAATTTCAATAATTTTTTTGTATATTACATACCTAAGTGTTATGTATGCATTTTCCAACAAATTACTAATATTTATGCTTAGTATAATAGAGCAAACATTAGCCAAAGTTCTCATACCAGCATTTATATTTGTTTGTTTTGCAGCTCTGCCTCAAGGTGTTTTGTACTCGTAAACCCCAACTGTACAGCTACCAGAACACACTTCCTAATCTTCCTTTACCGAGTATAGACGATACATTAAGACGGGTATGATCAATTATCTAGCATCTGTCACTCTACAGCTATGAGAGATTGCTGCTCTAAAAAAATTCTTAGTTTTGTTTTGTTTTTTTTTAATGCTAACAAATTGATTTTAATAAAATATCATTATAATTATTTCACATATTTTGCTGATTTGATAAGTAGGATTATGATGGGAAAACTGTAGTGGTAACTTTTTAAAAAAGAAAAAAAAAGAGAAAAGATGAATCCCTTCTAATACAGTGATACGACAATGAGGATTATTTATTATTATTTATTATAATGGGGTTGAGATTGTAATGAATGTAGTGATGATGTAAAGGTAAAAGTGATAGTGATGATGAAGACAGTGATAATAAATACTACTGATCAGGTGGTATGTGATAATGATAATGACGATGTTGATAATAGTAAAGACATATTAATAATAATTAGGAGCTCATCATAATAGTCAATGGCCTAGTTCAGACTAGGTGGATAAACTCGGCTCAACTTACCGGGTTTATCCAACTGCCAGTCTGAACTAGGTGGCTTATCTCAACTCGTTTCCTGGTTACAGTTCATCAATATGCAAATACTCACGTCTGGCTAATCCTGTTAGTCTGAACGCCTGGCAAAGTTAAGCTGGGCTTAACCTTGAGCTGGGCTCAACGTATGCCTGGCTTGTCTCCAAGTCAGACCGTAGCCAATATGATATTTATTTACAGTATTTACGATCAGTGCGTCCATTTATGGATGATGAAAAGTACAACAGAATGGAGAGACTTGCTAGTGACTTTAAAAAGAACCTCGGAATGCGATTACAACGCTACCTCTACCTCAAATGGTGGTTCTCTTCTAACTACGTCAGCGATTGGTGGGAAGAATATGTATATCTTAGAGGGCGCTCTCCACTCATGGTCAACAGCAATTATTATGGACTTGTAAGTAACAATAAAAAGTATGATTAAAAATAAGATAATTTGTTTTTGTACATACAAATATCACCAGTTCAATGTATTGATTACTAACATGCCCTTGTATGTATACATCATACAACAGATAATATGTACATTATATATTTTTATTAATTTTATTTTTTTTTAAATTTATGATTTTGGCAATAAGGAAAGCCACAATTTGTATTGCACCAAAAAAATTCACTGTGATGCCTAGAGTATCAAAGGTGGAATAGGCCACTGTGCTGCTTCTGAATAGTACTGTAATATCTTCTGCCATAGTAACTAAATCTTATTGAGCCTAGTTTTCATAAAATAGCTACATGCTATTGCCATCAGTTGTTGGTAATGCTACATGTATTGGTTGATTAAATATGAAGTGTTCCTAATCGCATTGGGTGCAGTTGCACAGTGTTATTTTAGTGCACTGGTAGATTTATTTTAGTGCACTGGTAGATTTATTTTAGTGCACTGGTAGATTTATTTTAGTGCACTGGTAGATTTATTTTAGTGCACTGGTAGATTTATTTTAGTGCACTGGTGCATTTTCAATTGGATGAGAGTGTAAGCTTTTGAAAAAATAAAATAAAAATCCAATCAAAACATGATTTGTTTACTTTGATGTATATAATTGCACATGTGTATTTATTTACCCAATAGAATTCCATGGGCAGCTGCTCGACAGACGTTTTTCAAGTCGGGAGACAATAAGGTGTCTTTGGATGTAATTGAGAAGGCCGCGTTCATGGTGGTCCTTGACGAAGAAGAGCATGATTATGATCCAGTGAGTATTCCATAAACAAATATTTTTTTTCTTAAAAAAAAATGTACTTAGTGCCAAACTGGCCAGCTGCAGTACTCCTCCGATGCTATGAAAATGGAGCCAAATTCCACTGCTGGTTTTTCTGCCTCTGATGCTATTCAAACATCTGTCATCTCCATGTAATATTTTTCATCTCCATGTACCAGACTGTTATTTCTACACTGATATCTCATATCTCAACTCAGGTTAATACTTGCTATACTGAAAACTGCCATTTTAAACATAAATTTGCTAGACCATTGCACAAAATTAATTCATAGTTGTCAGGGATGAACTGCCCATTGATAATAGCGATGAGCTGGTTAACTGTAATAAGTCATTCTGTCATTTAAGTGTCCCATACGTTCAACTTCAGAGCAACAACCTTGCTTGACTGTGCTCTGTGATTCAAGTCGAGGGTACAAGAATATTATAATAAATGTAATAATACCAAATACACAGCAGACCCCAACCTCAGGTGTTATGCATATAAGTTATCTGCGCTAGCTGGCATACTGTTTCAGATGAAATACCTGCTAAACAGACTTCAGTAGCTGCTGTGCCTTCTTAGATTCCTTGACAAATGAACTGTCTGCACTAGCAGGTATACTCCCTTATATGTTGTGCCAGAATATCTGCGCTAGCTGGCATACTGTTTCAGATGAAATACTACCTTAGCAGACTTCTTCAGTAGCTGCTATATTTTCTTAGATTCCTTGACAACTGAACTGTCTGTACTAGCTGGTTTTCATCAAGTATTTTGGTGGCATCACTTTAAATGATTTTTTTTTATATTACTTTGAAATAGATCTTTTACAAAAATTATTTTAGCTTAGTTTCTTTTCTAATGTTATTATTTATTTTAAATCATTCACATACTATTTACTGTATATATATTTTTTTAATTTAAAATTATTATTACATTGTAAATTACTAATGTATATTTTATTATTTAAATTGTAATATAATCATTTATTTTTCTTTAATTATTGGGCTATATTGTATTTGGGAGAATAACTTTAATGGTTTTCGATTTTGGAAATTGTTAATGGACAAGTAAGTTTTTGCTTTGTTAAAGATTAAAGGACACACTGTCGTGCCAAATGCCGAATCTAAGTTTTTCAAGCAAAGCAAATAAGAGGACTGAACCTGAGCCATAGCCAACTAGCTGGTAATCTCCCTCAGATGCTATGCTTGAGGCCCCAGCTGGTATAATTTCTCACATACTGGCATAAATGGTTGAATAAGCATCTATCTCTAATAAGTTCCAGTCTTGAATAAACTCACATAACGCTAAGTCTTGCTGCAATGCTTAGTAGAGAGTGCATATTACCAAACTGGCTTTGGTGTTTAATGTCAGGACACTATTAAATTTTCTGACTTAATTAATACAAATGTTATAACAAGTCATGTAGGCATATGTACAAAACTTTGTGTAATTTTAACAAGGTAAATGGGAAAAACCAAGCTAATAATTTAACTCTTGAGTAAGCGCTACTCTCAAAACGCATGTAATTTTGTAATAGTGAAGCCTATTTGTTCATTTAAAGCATGCCAAATAATGGTAATGGTAATGGTTTGGGACTTGTAAAGCGCATACTACATGGTCTCTATGCGCTTAAGTTACACGAAAGAAAACAAACCAAAAACTAAATCCTAAAGTCTAACCAAGCGACCTAAGAATTAAAAAAAAGCATGAGAAAACAGACTATCGCAGGGGAACCAACATCACCGCACCGTTTTCCTGCAATTTGAGACCACAGGCAAGCAGTGGTTTGCAGGATCATAACTCACAGATGCTCAAATAAGCTGCAAGGCTCATGCTGGTCTACTCACTCGGATGTTGTACTGCGCAATTGAGATTTGGGCCCCACCTTGTATACTGTACTCCTTCGTATTCTTTTATTTTCTCTTTTCTCTCTAAAGATTCCATACCAAACATCTTTACTGTGTCGGCATGAGTCTTTATAACATTCAACAGAAGCTATCACTTTATTCTTTATCTAAGCAGAAGAATTTCCAAATCATCTTCCCACACCATTTTTTTTATTTAATTGAATTCAGACTAAGCTGTTGCTCTTGCTACGAATGCTTTATTTTCAGTGGTCTACTATATATTGGCTGTTTCACATGAGCACCAATCACTGGTACAAATGTTTCTTTCATTCTATTTTATCTACTGTATGTTATTTATTAAAGGCGTATGAATGTTGTATGATGATAACAGGAATATTTATTTTGATAGCACACTCAATACCACAAGCAATAATGTAATGAATTAAAAAAGAAAAAAAATTATGAAATAAATATAAAAATATCAATATTAAGGACAATGCTAGGAACACAATAAACATAAACAATAAAAAAACAACCAAAAAACACCAAGTAACCTAACATAAAAGCAACCATGTAGGTAAAATTGAGCCAAATTGTGCTCTATAAATAATAAAATAATTTTGAAACAATGAATATATTATGAATTGTATACATTTGTCATCGTATTTAATCATTTGTTTTTATTTTTTTTATTCATTTCCATAAAATGGAGCCTTGCTATTTCTTGTTTGTCATTTGTTTATCATAATTTTATAATTTTTTTTTATTTCACAAGAAATAAAGTAAGGGATGCAAAATATTTTTGGAATGGATACTAAATATATTGCCTTATATGATTGCTTTCCTTTGCAGAAATTGGTTATAAGGATTAAAGCTTCACTATTCAATGTTCCTTCATATAATAATACTGTACATGTTTATAGTGATCAGTTTAATATCATTTAACTTCGCAATTCAGTATTAGAGCACATAACTCTTTATGATACAGGCATATTTAACATATATAACCAGTCCTACATACTAAATTATAAGGCAGAAATTTGAACCCAGTTTCTAACAACTGATCATAGTATTTCTGATTTCTTTTTTTAGGCTAAGTATTTATATAGTAATTTCACATCATCTTAAAACATACTGTAGTCCTTATATCATGTTCCTTTTCTTTCTCCCCCCCCCCCCATCTCCTTACAACAACAACAAAAAGAAAGAACTCTGAGAAAACCAGAGAATTTTTCTCCCAAATAAATGATGACTTAATTTTCTTAAATCCCTGCCACCACATTTGTTTCACATAAGGAACCGCTAGAAGAATTTCGTAAAGTGTACCCACCATGGTATATCAAGAAGCAAACCGAAAATCCCTCTAGTCAACAAAACCAGGTAGAGTACTATGTTTGTCCCCAACAGACAATTTTGAAAACAATCAATTTCTGCTTGCTTGCTTGCTTGCTTGCCTACCTGTTCTTATCATTGCTTTTGCTGGTTCATTAGTTTTACGTTTTAATTTGTTGTTGGTAGTCACCGCCTTGCACTATTGGCTATATATAGTTTTACATTTTAATATGTCATAGGTAATCATTTCCTTTTACCATTAGCCTATTTAGATGTTCATCATTATATAATTGTTTTAATTTTCTTAAGTATTTTATGATTATACTAACACTTAGAAGTTTACTTTTTGACTGTTGGTTATCTTCATTCTAATCAGTCATAACATCTTAATAACTACTGTACTTTAATCCGATACAACCAGCGGCATGCGAGTGCAGTTGGTCTCTGATATCTGACCTATGCAGATATCTGACCTATCTTTACCCTAACATCTGCATCTGAGTTGACCTATGGAGATTACAAGTCTATTCCGTGAATACTTAACTGGATAAACTGACTAATTGCCATTGTTCTCAAAACAGAACACCCCTTCGAAATAAAATAGAACAGTCCGACCCAGGGCGCAACGAACGAACCGCCTCCCTAACAATCGTCTTCATTCCCTATTCGACGTTGGTTGAAAAAGAACCTCCTTTGTGTATTGTAGACAACAAAAGTGCTGGACCACGAGAGTGAGTTGACCTATAGAGATTACAAATCTATTTGAAATAACTGACCTATGGTAATATACAACTTAATGTAATGTTTGATGTATTGGGGTGTCTGACATGGGGATATGTGACCTATGGTATTACCTGACCTCGGGGGATGTGACCTACAGTATGTAGTATGGATGTTTGTGCTATATGCATATGTGACTGGGAATGTCTGACCTATTAGGACCTTTGACCTGTTGGGATACCAGCCAGATATGACCTACAGTATGTGAATGTCAGACCTATAGGCAGTGGTCTGATCTCTGACAATGTTATATTTTTTGGAATTTCTGACTACTGTTTCAAAGTGCACCTCACTTCCGTAATAGAACTTTCCACTAAGCCCCGCCCCTTGAATATTAGCGAGGTTTCGCACGCGAACACGTACGGTTAATGTGACAGATACGTCATCATTTTGACCTCATACGCCGGCTGCTATATGCTAAAAGTGTGGACGACACACATATCTACCTCACTACACGTAAGTGAAAAACGCGTAGGGAAATTTTGAATTTCTAGTAGGATCTTCGTTTATTTTTTTCACATTTTACGTAAGTGTAAAAAATAAATGTATCTTTGAATACGTACGTGTCATTTTTGTGACATTTGAAGACAGCAAATTACGATAGGATGCGTCTCATTTTGGGGTATCAAAAAGTCGGTGCTTTGACCTTGGTGGTGTCGGGATTTTGCGTAGGCCTAGGCCTACTTGTAGCCAGGCACTTTTGGGTCATAAACAATAAGGCCTATCACAAAATAACCAACACTTCTGGGCAACAAAGGAAATATTTTTCGGCTACAATTTTCAATTTCAATTTCCAAAACCTTACATATATACTAATAAAACTTTGAGAAGTATGATGAGAGAAGAGAACAGGTAAGGCCCTAGGCCTAGACTACGCTTGAATTGCTCTGTGATTGCAAAAAAAATAGTTGGCTACGAACCGTTACAGATAGCAAAACGTATGCGTACATGTATTCGTTCGCGTGCGAAACCTCTATATTGTTGCTAAGGTCCCATAAAACGACAGTGTAAAAACATACGCAAACGTGTGTTTATGGGACAACACATGTATTTGTAGTACACATGCGTATTCCTGGTCGTGTTCTAATTGGTCAGTTTAAACTGACACTCTGGGAAGATCTATTGTGATGTTTCACTGGTAGCAGTAATAGTGGTTTTTGTGTAAATGAACATAACTTAAAACACAACACTTATATTATTTAATTTATTAATGTTATTAAAGATGTATTGTTCCATGCTAAATATAAAAAAAATAAATATTTTTTTTAATTAACTTGCCCATTTTGAAGTAACATAAGTTATCAACTTGAACATAGAAATTAGTGTTTTTAAAAAATGTCTACCCATCAGTTTACAGCGAAAAATGATAGAAACACTTCCAGTCACTGAAAATGTTTCACTATTTTTATTATAATTTTTTGGTTTAAAAATCAGGCTACACATTTTTTTAATTCAATAATTTCTAGGCACAAGTTAATAATTTGTATGTTATTGCAAAATGAGCAAGTTTATTTCAAACTTATTTCTTATGATTTTTTTACATTAGCAAGGGACAATACATCTTTAATATATTATTATGATTATTAATTATTATTGATCTATTATTGTATAATATTATACTGTATAAATGTACCATGGTATGTTTTCATAACTGAAGTATTTAGTGTAACATTTTAATGGGGTTGTAAAATATTTAATATAGTAGAGCATAGTAAAAGCTAGTACAGTATACAACTTGTTCTGCTGGTTGTACACAGACCACAACAAGAACATGTACATTCAAATAATAGAAGTCAAATATATAGAAATTGTATGGTCCTGGTAGTTTATACTGGTACATATAGTACATACATGGGTGTATGTACGTTTGTTAATTCCATGCGCTCACTGCATGGAACCTGCAATTGACGGTTTGGCCTTCCTAAATTGTAGGGGACACTTGCATGTTGTTCCCATAAGTCTTTTTGATAGTGATTTACAATTTTTGTAAAATTTTAAATTCTTAGTAGTCATGTTCTTTGACTTGCCAACTAATGCCAAGTTTATACTGTGCAGTCTATTTTAAAGTATGTGATAGGACTAAAGAATAATATTGAACCAAACCATACATATATCGGTATCAAATTTTATAAACTAATTATATTTATCTTGATAATTTGCATAAACTAAATGTTAAACTGAATATATCATTATTATATCTTTATTGTATTTGTTTAAAACAATTGTATGGTACAAATGAAAGAAACTACAAAATGTGTTCTGCTTATTGTAATGCTGCCTGTATCTATTAAATAGGATGACTACACACAGCTGGATAAATTTGGCTGCTCACTACTTCATGGCAAAGGATATGATCGCTGGTTTGACAAGTCTTTCAATCTTGTTATCTTCAAGAATGGACGTGTTGGTTGCAATGCAGAACATTCTATGTAAGTTGCTGTAGCAAAGTTAGGTTTCCATACAATCGCTACACCCTATCGCCGACAGTTTTCTGCGATGCTGATCGGTCTGTCGAATCAGGGAGCCCCTCCCAATTGCGTCAGGGACCACTACACAGTACAATATTTGCACTGAAAACAGTGTAGCGGCAGTGCAGTGATTTTAAGGAATTTAAGCTTAAAGTTTATTCAGTTTTTTTTTTTTTCACACAGCCATTATGTACACATCACAAACAGATTCCGGTCCATCCTAAGGACAAAATAATAGTCCAGTCAATATAGATTCATATTCAATTTTATTCATCCAATATGAAAGTAGCAATAGGTACATTTTCAAAATCATTACAATTTTATCAAAACATTAGTTCAATATAGATAAGGTAAGATATATTATAATACATACAAAATTGTAATTTATAGAATATTAAAATGCTGTATAAAAATTCCAGTTAAAATTTTTAAATTACTAAATGTCAGATTAAACCAATTTAAAATAATGTACTGTCTCTCAATCTGAAATAATTGCAACAGAAATATTTTTTATGGAATCTGGACCAAACAAATACACATAAACATGGTTCACGTCGAACTTTTATCTAGATATACATCCACTTAACTAGTTAAAAGTTCGACGTGAACCACTCAATTATAGCTAGATAAATGAATTAAGTCACTTAAGTTAAGTGACTTAACTTTACTAGAATAACGGTAAATTAACTTGCTTAACGGTAAAGTCGGCGGATTACAAGGACACGATTACGTAACATAGGCATCTAAGCCAGCGTTGTTGTATTGTACCACCATTATCATTCTGGCTGGTAACAACGTACTTTAAGAATGCTAACAACAGCATCGAAGTAGTCTCATTAGTCTGTTTTTCAGAAATTATTTGTAATACTCTGGGTAAAAACCCAGCAAACGTCCGTTTTACGAATAGTCTAAATAACCAATGACCTTTGCCCTTTGCATCATCGACCAAGTAATAACGTTAAAAAGTCCGATTGCGTACGTTTTTCAAAGTGATAATATATATTTTTCTTAATAATAAAATCAGATTTGTTGTATTTATTTATTGACAATTCAATCTTTTCCATTTCTGCTATAATAGTCGCTATTAATTCAATTTCAACGAACTACCACCAACGACAGTCGTTAAAATGAGCGCACATGTTTACGATGACAAAATAAAAAAGTGTGTGGAAGTCAGCAACTTATTTGACACCGCGAAGCTAGATTTTTGCGAAGTACATGTAAACAACACAATTGAGCGATCTAAAAACTACAAAACAGGACAGAAAGGTCCATAAAGTATAAATACGTTTTAATGAAAATGAAAACAATATTTTGTTAAATGGAAGAATGCTAGCTAGCGATTAAAATAATTCGTTTTTTATCGAAGGTAAATGTAGCTAGGGCCTAGAGAATCTACTACTTAGATTGCGATAGAACACGCTGCTGCACTGTCGTTGGTTCGTACTTGTCGGCTAGGTTAGGTAGTGGAAACTCACACCTTCTCTACAGTAGTTTACAATTTTTTTTGAACGAATACCACTTGGTACTAGAGGGTCGTAAAATACAGTAGATGTTTTATTAAACAAGCCTTTCCACCGTGTGACGTCGACAGCCTGAAACTGGCTGTTTATGTGGCTCTAACTTGGCATCGAACGCAATTAGGGGATTATCGTATCATGTTTCAAGACGGGTATATCCAGATAAAGTTTGACGTGAACCAGGCTATTCAGTATTATCACGCAAGTCCCAAAAAAATTATATCAGGGAAAAATTTGTTTTAATCATTGTTTTTGTTTCTTTTGATCTTTTTTTCTATTATGTGTATTAACTTGTGTCTTGCAGTGCTGATGCCCCAGTTATGGCACATCTCTTTGAGTATGCATATGCAGAAGACTTCGTTACCCTTGGATACAAAGAGGATGGCCATTGTAAAGGAACTGTTACTAGAGAGTTGAGTCCTCCTCAGCTACTTAAGTGGCAAATTCTACCAGAAGTAAGGATTATTCTAATATCTAATATCAATAAAGACAATAGTAATAATGTATACATCATAATAAGAAAAATAGAAAATGATAAAATTTTTGTAAATATAACAATTTATAATTCTCTGGCCACAGTATCATATTTTATGTGACAAATGTGTGTGATGTGACCATATATGGGCATGATGAGCCCATATAGGGACATGATGAGCCTATGGGCTTGTTGATCCCATATACTATGTGCATGATGGTGTCATAATACACCCAAATAATTTATGGGCATATCACACTTATTTGTCACATAAAATTTGATAGTTTGGATATAGCATAAGATTGCCTAAATGATAGGATGTTTTCTTACTATAGAATACACAGTCGTGTCGTTACAACACCAGATGGCGCCCTCTGGATGTTGGTTACCGTTCATTAAACCTGCATGACTTCATAACCTTAATGGTTTAGAATATGCTTTCTGAAATAGGTATTTTAAAACCTAATAATTTACCATAAAAATGTACTAAAAACACGAAAAGCTCGCATTATATTAGTTATCAAACAAATATTTAATAATCGATTAACATTTACATAGAAAAATTAAGGCTATGTTCCGTAACACAATCAAAGTAGATTGGTGTATTGCACGTATTGGTTGTCAGGCACTTTCGAATTCTTTATCACACAAAAAGTCCGTAACAACAACTGCGCGTATTTTGACGCGCTTTTGTGATTTCACAAACTAACACAATCTAATTTGATTGTGTTAGTTCGTGATGTGAGCGACGATTTGAGGGAGGCATTTACTCCAAATGAGACTCTAGAGGGGGTGCTTATTCAATGGGGCGCTTATTCAAAGTGGTTCCTTTATTCGAATAAATACGGTATATATATTTGCAGTTGATGACAACCATAAAGAGCAGCAAAGAACTAGCAACAGAATTAGCGAATGATGTGGACTTGCATGTGATGGTACACAATGCCTTTGGTAAGGGTCTTATGAAGAAGTGCAAGGTCAGCCCTGATGCATTCATTCAGATGGGGATGCAGTTAGCTTATTTCAGGGTAAGAATCCCTACTATTTTTTGTATTTCAATTTTGAAATTGTATCTAATATCCCTCTTTACACTGCCTAGCCAGTGTAATGCTGGTGTGACATGGAATGAAATTGTCTTACCTTAGGCCAAACATTTGGGATGAGTTTGAGTAATATTTACACTGACAGTGAACACTGGCATTGGAAATGTAAACATTGCATACAAACTCATTCTGCTGGTATCATTTCCTGAAAGTTTTTTTTGCACTTTGCTATCCAAAATTTCAGTTTTGAAAAAAAAAATGTTCATTAGAAAACATATTATTCATGAATGTAAGGAAAAGGTAGAGCCCTAAATATTTGTAGTAATATTATATTAATGGAGTTGTTATTGGATGCTATATAACTACAAATTTACAAATTAAATAGTAAATAATGGTTTTATTAATATAAGGCAGGGAGGATTTTTAACCGTGTTATTTTTGACCATGAAAAACATCAGATTTTGATAGTTGAAATCCTTTACATCAGCATCAGCGATGCTGTACTGCCATCTCCAGACAAAATTTGAGCAGAGCACATCCAGGGTTTGTTGGTTTTCCTTTTTGATCGAAACCCTTGGCAAAATATGCTTTGGGTACAAGTGTGGGATATGTCTGGTTTAACTCTGGAGTTGAGCTGACTGTAAAAGTAGTGACGGCACCAGCGTCTGAAATCTGGGGACCCTAGGTAACATTTTAGGGGGTATACTGGGGTGGGCGTGGCCGAGCGTCACTCATAATGTCTTTAAAGTGGTGCAGGGGGTGAAGTCCTCGAAAAATTTTGGTGTTTCAGAGGCTTCTTTAATCGATTTATAAATAGATAGTCTACTAACATGTAGAAAATACTTGTTATTTTTTTTCTTCCCAACGAATTGTGGTTTTTCTCCTTTTTTTGGGGAAAACTGGGGGTCAAGAAAATTATCTGGGTGAATATTCCCCCATCCCCGCTAGTGCCGCCACTGTGTAAAAGAATCATTAGTCTAATCCACAGGTGTGTAAAGTGTGGCCTCTGGGCCACTGCGGCCTGACAACAATTTGTTACAGCTGGCGCCTACCTTCATTGATTAGGAAAACACCTTGTTTTTATGGCCCGACACTGATCATCAGTAAAATACTAAAATTGAACATAAAGCTGATATTAGTTTTTGACCCATATTTATGCCCACACCTTCTATAATCAAATTAAGAATGCATGTATCTGGATTGTAAAGTAAAAAGAGTATTTCGGTTGGTAATTTCTTCAGGCATCAACTAATTATACGAAAATACCATGGATACTTTATTTTTTTTTACTTGTATATTCCAGGACCAGGGTCGATTCAACCAGACCTATGAAGCATCAATGACACGCTTATTCCGTGAAGGTAGAACAGAAACTGTGCGTCCATGTACGATTGAATCCTGCGAATTTGTACGATCCATGGATAATCCAGATAAAACTGTGAGTTTATAACAACAAGATAGTGCACTGTTTGATTTCTGTGTACAAATTTTGTAACAACATAGTGTAGGTTGCTTTCTCGCAAAAACAATTTCTCTAACTCAAGAAAGCACATCTCGCAATTTTTGTGTGCAAATTCTGTAACAATCATAGTAAAAACTAGGATGCCCTGTCTTTTTACATTCCAGTCATTTGAAAATGGTAGCTGTAGTATAGTATAGTCCATATATTATTAGCATTATACTATATCATTAGACCAAATTATTGAAATATTCCAGGCTTATTTCAAAAATCTTAAAACACATAATTTAAAAAAATAGCATCAAGGGTACAGTATAATGAAATCCCAATATGATTTGTTACCATTACAGAATGAAGAAAGACTAGCATTACTCAAGAAGGCTGTTGATGTGCATGTCAAAGGTTATCGAGATGCAATGAATGGCAAAGGAATCGACAGACACTTGTTCTGCTTGTATGTGGTATCCCAATACTTGGAAGCTGATTCTCCCTTTCTACATGAGGTCAAATTTCTATTTTTTATTATCTTCAAGATTATAGTAATCATTTTTCTATGACCTTTGTTAGGATACCTTTTCTGTTGCCATCCCTAAATCATCTCCATTGATTTCTTTAAGAAACAATTAAAGTCTCAACTTTTCTCCATCTCCAGCAAAGTGTTTAAATCCATCTTAAAAATGTCAAAATGTAATATATCCTCGCCCAGATTGTGTAGAATGAAAATATAGTGTCTTGTCTCTAATTATACAGTATTTCTATATTTTTCTACTAATATGAGTGTATTTTAAGTATCCATATCTCATCTGTATTTTTACTGCTGTGACAGTGAAGTTTTATCATATCTTATATTGTGTTATGATATAATAATGATAATAATTGGAAATGTCAGTGCTTTTCAGAACCAAGGCAGTTCTGTGTGTTAGTTATGTTATCCTGGCATAGTAACATTTAATATTTGACATGAAAAACTTCTTTTTTTTGCTACGCTTTGTTACAAATATCCTTCAATTTTGTTTTGATGAAAACATTCAGGCCTTGACTGAGCCATGGCGCCTTTCCACTAGCCAAACGCCACATCAACAGACCAATAAGATGGACCTGGTAGAATTTCCTGAGTATATTTCAGCTGGAGGCGGATTTGGTCCGGTATGTACACATTTATACAACAGTATTTTAATTGTATTTGAAAAAACAAATGTTGACATATTTTATGTAAGCATAAAACCGAGAGCTATATTTCTTTGAATCCAATGTTAATTCATTTTTGTCATACAAGTTGGTGGTAATAAGGATTCTTTCCATCCAGAACCGTTAACATCACCTTTGTATTTTTCCTGCTGTTCCCTTTCCACATTCTTGTAGCTCCTAACACTCAATGATTCTAAATCTTTTTGCGTATAAAGTCTGCTTTTTTTTGTCTTGTAGGTGTCAGATGATGGTTATGGTGTATCTTATATCATCGCTGGTGAAAACATGATATTCATACATATTTCCTGCAAAGTATCATGTCCCACTTCGGTAAGTTTCCTGCCATCATCTACCGAGTGGTCATTACCCAATTAGTTTATTGGGTCAAATTAACAGTCATGTGATGACCTATAGTTGGTACAATATTGAGAAAACAGACACAGCGAGCAATACTCATTATAGGAAAGGACATTATTTTTCTGTTGTAAGTCACAGCATTGATGCTGAATTGTGTTGGTTGGAATGTTAGTAAAATCCTGTGCCCTAAATAGCTTGGAAGTTATACTTTGTCAGAAATGTTTGTCAAGGCTCAAATATAAAGTTTTAATTTTTTTAAAGAAGGGATAAGCCTAGTCCCCTATACAGTATTTGACTGATTTTTTTTTTTACTCTCTTCCTTTTACAGAATTCAAAGAAATTTGGTGAGCAAGTTGCAAAGGCATTGGCAGATATTAAAGATCTTTTCAAATTAGACTAAAAAGCGATTTTGAATAACGGATTGAAGGAGGCACTGGTCAATCCATGTAGATTCTTACATTGGGATGTTTATATTGGAGATATACTTTTAAGATTGTTCCATTCGAATTATTTCATGCAATGGTTGATTTGAGGTGGCATTATTCGACAGTGGTTGTAGAATGTGGTGAATTTGATCAAATTCTAATGGCAGTGATCTGGTTTTGTGTGTTAAGCCTAGTTCCCATAAAGTCGCTACTGTGTTGCTACTGCAATTGCTGCACTAAGTTGTCACCAGCACAATTGAGAAGGCTGTCCATTTCTGGCCTGCATTTCGGTACTTGGAATGTGTATTATACTTTCTTATCTGAGATTTATTTCTACATTGTGTTTGCATTTATTTTTTAGTTTTTATACTACTTATATTTATACGGCCTTGCACGGCCTTGATGAAAAACTCCCTTGGGTGAATGAAGTTTTACCATGTTGAAATAAAGTATTTATTATTATCGCCAAAAAATAAGGAGAGTCGGAGACAAATCGTAAACCACTGACCAATCATTCACTGAATTAACTATACTTTATCGATAATTATCACACTTGATTTTCTTGTGTGATGTTGTCAAATTTTGATTAAAAGTTACTGAATATCAATCAATCCAAGCAGTTTTCGACTAGAGGTTTTCTATTTTCTAGGCCTATTAGGCTTGGTGATACTCAGTAGTTGGTGTGATCATCAATATCAAGCCTCATACCATTGCTACCGTGATTCACAATAATTGTTGGCAATAGTGTGTAGACATTTTATGGAAACCAGACTTTTGAGAATTGTTCAATGTATAGTATCTTATCATATTAATTAAATGAATTACATACAGCTACCTTAGCACTGTCCCTACTTACTATCAGTCAATTTAATTTTTTTTTTTAGCGATGGTAAGTATTCTCACAGGCCAGTCACAAGATTTAACGCTTGTCTATAAACAATGCCTCTCAACCACCAAGCTACAGCCCTCAATACTTAGTGACTCAAATTTTAAGCATTTCATATTCACCTATTTTTTATTGTGTGTGTGTGTAGTTGTAAAATAACATGTTTCTTCTCTGTGTTGTGTTCAGATTTACTGTATCTGTCTAGCAAATAGTGAATTGCCAAGGTATGTTTGCTGCAAAAGGATAGTTGTATATTTTTTTAGCCAGCCTTTTAATGTTGGTTAGATATTAAAATATTAAATAGTATTTCCTATATTATACTAAATTATATTTTGAATTTTCTATTTACATACTGAAGTGTATAGTCCGTATTTATTGCTTGTGGTGAAATAATACACTTATATTCACAACGCCTGCTCTCTTAAATATCCAACATTAACTTAATTTTCTGTGTCTTTTTTTGTCAAAATACTGCCCTGTATACATTTAATTTATTGAAGCAGCACTTGGTGTATTTCTTTTAAACAATTCTATATTTAATTAAGCCAACACTTGTTAATTTTTTTTTTTTTAATCTCAGGAATTAAATGCACTTATGTTTTTTTGTTTGTTTTTAAAAGTAGAACCAATTTCCAGAGTTTAAGAATGGACCAATACAAATGATTAGTCAAGATATTTATTTAATTGCTATACACAGCTTTTTTTTTATTATCCTCAAAGATCAGTACAAAAAGAAGAAAACTATACTCTCTAAGTAGTAAAATGTTATTTGCTTTTACCTTTTCTATGATTATTCCCCCTCAAAAATATGTTTATATTTTTTAATAACACAGCAAAAATAGCTGTTTTATATAAGTTTTATTAACCATAAATACTGTACCTGATTCAAAGATGTATTTCTGTTCTATTCATACCTATCCAGCATTTTTTTCTTTCATTTCTGGATAGGTGTGACAAACTGTTACCAAGTATCTATAATTTGTTCTTTCAGGAGATTGTGTAGGTGGAATATTTAACGAAATATGGTGAAACCATATCAAAATAGATAATTTTAATGTATTCACATTTATTGTAGATTCTCCCACCAATGATCTGTTCTGAACATTAATTTAAATAAGTGACTGACTTCAGTTGCGCTCAACAATACCATCCAATATACAGTATAAGCAAATATAGGTAAAGGTAAAAGATGTGTAATATAGAACAGTGACATGTATATAATACACTGGTGACATATTTATTGTTTTCTATGTACAGTACCATATTATCTGCATGCTATTTGTCCAGTGCAAGACAGTTGCTGTATGTTGTATTTAGCCAAACAATGCAAATTTTTCTCTATAACGATTGGTGACCACCACTTCAACCTTGATTTCAGATCAAATTTTTCTTTTCTGTTCTTTGTTCCATGTAAAGTACATATATTCAGCAGTGGCATTAACAGCTATGAAAAAGGGACTCTACACTATAATGAGCCACGGGATATTCATCAGCGTTTATCATTTTATTCCATGTTGACTTGGTGGGCCTTTTAGGGAGCGGAACATAAACAACTTAAAAACGTCCTTTAAAACTTAAGAAACGCTGAAGTGGGGTTTTTCCCATACCCCGGAGCTTTCTACTTGGACCCAGTCCCCAGGGTAGTAGGCCTGAAGAAGTCTTATGCCATTAAAATTCAGAACTTTCTTCGTGTTAATAAAGTTGCAATCTGGATTATTAAAATTAATGAACCTGGAAGAATACGCACATGTATCTATGCACAATATTTAACAGTGATGATACAAGACAAAGTACATTTCACATATCTCAGATGTATTTTACTAGATAATCTAAGTGATGATAATATGCCTGGAAAATTTTTAATTTAATCCAAATTGAAGTGGCTGAAGTTCCCAATTGAATTTTGTTTTATTGTAGTTAAATTGGAGTTTGAATTTAATATAATATACCATAGTACACATTTTAGCAATAATTGTAAATTCTGCTTTAAGGTATACGTTGAGACAAGACTAGAGTCTAGAGCTGTATGTTGCTAGTAACTTTAGTTAGGGTAAAGATAATTTTCTGGTCTAGAATACTGTAGGTAGTAAACCTAATATAAAATGTTCCTTTTAATATCACAGCATCTGTGTGTTATTGTTGTTTGATGCTAGCCAATTTGTCATGCTTATTTGAGCATTTTTTCTTGAATATTAAATATCATCTGTGGTGGTTTGCATATCATCTATGTCTTGTGTCTCTTCATTTTGTTTTGTTGCTTTGTTCAAATAAATCCTAATAATCTTGAGAGTATGTGCACTGCTAACTAGAAATTTGCTGACGGGGTCTGACATGTCCGACGAGGGTGTCCGAACCAAGAAGCTGACTAGAGCATCGATCAAGGTCTCAGAATAAACATCCCTAATAGAGTTCACAGGGAGAGTTTTTATAGCTGAGTGTGGCCCAAATTGTGCTTTTTAGGCAAAAATTTTATCGATTGGCAATCAAAATCAGGGGATCCAGAAATGTCCAAATGGGGGGCCGGAAGTTGGGCCGATTGAGACAACACTGTCGTGGGGAGTTCGGGGGCATGCCCCCGCGAAATTTTTGTGTTCTAGACGTCCGAACAAAACATTTGAGACATTCTGGGCTAATATTATTTTCTTTTCCCCTCTTTTTTTTTTTTTTTTTCTTTTTTTATTTCTCA